GTTTCTGGATGAAACATCGGCCCTGGATCCATTCCAGTCCGGCTTCCGCGCTGGTCATGGGACCGAGACGGCTCTGGTTGCCCTAACAGATGATCTTCGTAGACAGCTGGATCGAGGCGGGTCGGGGCTGCTGATTCTTCTAGATCTATCAGCAGCCTTCGACATGGTCGATCACGAACTTCTGGACCACCGCCTTGCCGACGTGGGGATCCAGGGCACAGTCCTTCAATGGCTGCGCTCGTTTCTCTCTGCTCGGGGACAGAGGGTGGCGCTTGGGGGGGAATTGTCATCGCGCCACTCCTTGGTGTGTGGAGTACCTCAGGGTGCGATACTCTCCCCGATGCTTTTCAACATCTTTATGCGCCCCCTCGCCCAGCTTGTTCGGAGTTTTGGGCTGGGTTGTCATCAGTATGCCAATGACACCCAACTCTATCTGTTGATGGATGGCCATCCTGACTCGGCCCCAGACACGCTGACCAGATGTTTGGAAGCTGTGGCTGGATGGTTACGTGGGAGCCGGTTGAAGCTAAATCCTTCGAAGACAGAGGTCCTGTGGCTGGGAAGGGGCGATATGGGATTGGGGGGGGGCAACTCCCATCTCTTGCGGGGGCGCAATTAGTGCCAGCACCGTCCGTTAAGAGCTTGGGTGTAATCTTCGACACCTCCCTTTCCATGGAGGCGTAGATTGCAGCTATAACAAAGGCGGCATTTTTCCATCTCCGCCAAGCTAAGCAGTTGGCTCCTTACCTCTCTCGCCCTGACCTGGCCACTGTGATCCACGCGACGGTCACCTCCAGACTGGATTATTGTAACTCGCTCTACGTGGGGCTGCCCTTGAGACTGACCCAGAAACTCCAGCGGGTGCAGAATGCTGCAGCAAGACTCCTTACAAGGTCTTCGCTGCGAGATCACATTCACCCGGTGCTATACCAGCTGCACTGGCTCCCGGTGGAGTACAGGATCAGGTTTAAGGTGCTGGTTTTAACCTTTAAAGCCCTATATGGCCTAGGACCCTCGTACCTACGGGACCACCTCTCCTGGTATGCCCCACAGAGAAACTTACGGTCTTCAAATAAAAACATCTTGAAGGTCCCAGGCCACAGAGAAGTTAAGCTGGCCTCAACTAGAGCCAGGGCTTTTTCGGTTGTGGCTCCGATCTGGTGGAACACTCTGTCACAAGAGACCAGGGCCCTGCGGGACTTGACATCTTTCCGCAGGGCCTGCAAGACAGACCTGTTCCACCAGGCCTTTGGCCAAGGCACAGTCTGACCCCCTCCTTTGGTAATCCTCACAGAACTCTAGCCCAATGGTTGCTAGTGGCTTGAATTAATTAATTTTTATAATGAATGATTTTAGAATGTTGTTTATGTTGTACTTTTGTACTGTTTTATTGTTGTTAGCCGCCCTGAGCCCGGCTTCGGCTGGGGAGGGCGGGATATAAATAAAATTTTTTATTATTATTATTATTAGTTGTTTAGTCGTGTCCGACTCTTCGCACTCCTGTCTTCCACTGCCTCCCGCAGGTTGGTCAAACTCATGCTGGTCTCTTCGAGAACACTGTCCAACCATCTCGTCCTCCGTCGTCCCCTTCTCCTTGGGCCCTCCATCTTTCCCAACATCAGGGTCTTTTCCAGGGAGTCTTCTCTTCTCATGAGGTGGCCAAAGTGTTGGAGCCTCAGCTTCAGGATCTGTCCTTCCAGTGAGCACTCAGGGCTGATTTCTTTAAGAATGGAGAGGTTTGATCTTCTTGCAGTCCATGGGACTCTCAAGAGTCTCCTCCAGCACCAGAATTCAAAAGCATCCATTCTTCAGCGATCAGCCTTCTTTGTGGTCCAGCTCTCACTTCCATACATCACTACTGCGAAAACCAGAGCTTTAACTATACGGACCTTTGTCGGCAAGGTGATGTCTCTACTTTTTAAGATGCTGTCTAGGTTTGTCATTGCTTTTCTCCCAAGAAGCAGGCGTCTTTTAATTTCGTGGCTGCTGTCACCATCTGCAGTGATCATGGAGCCCAAGAAAGTAAAATCTCTCACTGCCTCCATTTCTTCCCGTTCTATTTGCCAGGAGGTGATGGGACCAGTGGCCATGACCTTCGTTTTTTTTAAATAAATAAGCACCCCCTCCCCCAAATTGTTGGATTGAAGCGTGTGGGGAGCTTTGGAGAAAACCTCGACCATCCTTGTTTGCATCTCGTGATGCATTTTGCAAAAAATCAACATCAAGGTTACGGGAGCAGTGGAATTTAAAAAAAAACATGAAATAAAAATATAAAAATCTGCTGCGTTGGCCGGGAATCGAACCCGGGTCAACTGCTTGGAAGGCAGCTATGCTCACCACTATACCACCAACGCTTGTTGGGATTAAACAGGCTGCCGGGAGCCAGAAATGGAAGGATCGCCTGTGCTTTTTTTCCTTTCCTTTTTTCCTTTTGCAGAAGGGGAAAAGAATGCGACGGGGGTGGAGGGAGGAGGAGCCAGCCAGGAAAACAGCGAGCTGCCTTTTCCCCCCTCCAAGCCTGGGAAGCGCCGCCGACTCAGCAAAACCCTGCGAAAAACATCTGGCAGCGGTGGGATTCGAACCCACGTCCCCGGAGAGACTGGAGCCTAAATCCAGCGCCTTAGACCGCTCGGCCACGCTACCTTAAGTGGCGGGTGGGGGGAGGGCAAAGGGAGACGAAACCACAAAAGCGGTTTAAAAAAAAGGAGAAGATGCGCCTATGCACGTGTGAACACGCCGACACGTGTTGACCCCAGATGCCCCCGTTCTTTCCAGACAGGGATGCCGTGCGAGGAAAGCGGACTCACTTCCTTCTGGTTTGCACGCTGAGCAAAGGAGAAGCTGCGGGGTTTTTTTGTTAAATAACCATTTGCAACATCCGGAGCAAAAGACTTTTTTTTTGCAAGCTCCCTTTGCACGGGATGTCTCCGTCTTTTTGCTGGAGTCGGCGGGCAGAAGTGAAAGCAAGAAATTGCCTGCTTTATTTTATTTTATTTTGCCCCTTTTCAAGCTGGGATCTCTCTCCTGGGTTGATGCTCGTCTGAACATCGCGGGTTGACCCGGGTTCGGTTCGTGCTAGCGCAGGAATTGTGCATTTTTTAAAAAAATCCGAAATAAAAGCATTTTTTTTAAATGAATTAATTTTTTCCACGCTGTCCGCCCCCAGAGAAAGATTCAACCGAGAAGTAGGATAATTTGTAACATTTGCAACTCCAAATCCTCACTTCGCAGGATGTATAGGAAAGTGACGTAATCGGGTTCCGATCACGACATTTCATTCCCCTCTGACATCACTGTTGACAACCTCCCCTCCATGCAACACGTGTGTGTGTGTACACACGTGGTAACACTTCCCGCAAGGGACGGATTGTATCCCTCGAAAGCTATTGCCACCACTAAGCGGTTCCGCCTTCAAGGTGCTACAAGACTCCTGCTGTTTCCGATGTGACTCGTGCTTGATTCCGCGACGTTCACACGCTCATAACTAACACGTGTCGACGCCTCAACTTTAAACCTACACCTTGAAAAAAAGTGGAGCGGGGAAAGGCTCGATCGTTGATTCCCAAGTCCTGTGAGATCGCGCGCTTGGGCAGAAACTCCGGGTTTGTTTAATTGACGTCCCACCCCGGCCGCTAAAAAAACCCCAAACCCGTAACGTGTGAAGCTACATCCTCGCAAATCACCCCCGGGCAATCTAAGTACGTGTTTGGTAGAGGTGCGGGAGTTACACACAACCAAGAAGGCGACACTCGCGCGATCTCCTTCTTCGGGACCCGTTAACCTGCGGAACTCCCTGCTGCGTGGTCCCCAGCAGCTCATTCCAGCTATCCAGAAGCTGCCAAGCTCTATAATGGATTGAAAAAATGTTGAAATATACATTTATAAAGAAACCAGAGGCCTTTCTTCTTGGAATAACAGGTCTGGAACTGCCCAAGAAAGATGTTCAACTATTTTTGTATGCCACAACTGCTGCGCGTATTCTGTTAGCTAAAAAGTGGAAAACCCAAGAATTACCAACGTTAGAAGAATGGCAGATGATGGATTTTTCGGAGCTAGCCGACCTAACCGGAAGAGTCCAGGAAGAGTGGATTAAATTTAATGATTACTTAGTTAAATATGTTAAGTTACATTAACTGAAAACAGCTTGCAGACCTTTAATTGGCTTAGGATTTTATTTATGTCAAGTGTCGAATTAATATGTTTAATTTCATCATGTGAAGATCTAAGGATGTTAAAGTTAAATTTTATAAGAACTGTGATTTGGAAAACCGTTAAAAGGACATGCAATGAAATTCAACCAAGGAGGAGCGAGGAAGTCACTTAACAATGTTAATCAGTGTAATTTTCCATAAGGCTATGATTTATGTTCGTTTGTCTTATGAGTTTGTTTGTTTATAATGTTGTGAAAACCAATAAAAACTTTTTCGAAGAAGAAAAAAGAGGGCGACACTCGCGCGCGCGCTCTCCTTCTTCGGGACGCGTTAACCTGCGGAACTCCCTGCTGCGTGGTCCCCAGCAGATCATTCCAGCCCGGCAGCTTCGGCTACCCAAAAGCTGCCAAGCTGGGCCGGGAAAGCAGCCAGGCAAGCAGTCCATAGTTCTCCCCCAGCATCACCGGCCCCTGGGCTTCGTCTCCATTCCCTAAGGTAGACTGTCACCGAAAGTGGAGGCTCTACTTTGCGCGCTTGGAGCTGTAGGCGGCGGCCGCGGCTTCCTGTGCCGGCGCCCCCGGCCGGGCCTGCTCCGCCCTCGGCGCGCCGCAGCTCCGGCGGGCGTTTCCTGTCCGGATGCTGCTGTTTTGGTGCTGCTGCTCCGCCTCGGCCTCTCGCCGCCGGGGCTGCTGCTGGCAGGCGGCCGAGCGCGGCCTCCCCTCGACGGCCTCGCTGTTGCTGCAGCCGCCGCCGCCGCCTCCTGCTCGTCCTCCGGCGCCGCCTCTCCGCGCCCGGTCGCTTCCGCGCTTGCAATCGCCGTTCGCCGTCGCCGCCGCCGCCGGCCTGGTCCGCCCTCTCCTGCCCCGGCCATGGGGAGGCGCCGCCGGGCCCGGGAGCCGCCCGCCCGCCTGGTGCTGCTGGCGCTGGCGCTGGCCTCCGGCTCGGCGCTGCTGCTGGCCTCGCTCAGCCTCCTGCTGGCCGCCTGGCCCCGATCCAGCGCCCGCGCCGCCCAGCAAGAAGCGCCGCCCGCCGCCGCCGCCGCGGTGCCACAGGTGAGGGGCGCACGGCGAGCGCGCAAGGCTCCAAGCCGCGCGTAATGCCAGCGAGGCGCACGGAAAGGTCCTTGGGGAGGAGGAGGGGGGGACCCAACTCGGGACCCCCCAGATCGCAGAGTTGCAGAGAGATTCGCACCGAGGGCGGCGAGGCGGACGGGCGGGGAGTAGCGGGAGGGAAGGCACCCTTAGGTGCAGCCAGCAGCACCCACAAGGCGCACCCAGGGCTGGGCGAACGCAACGGAGGGTGTGCGTCCGGGAGGGCTGAGGAATGCGCTCCGCTGTGCGTACTTTAAGTCGGCGATAATCCGGCCACCTGCTGTCAACGCAGGAGACCCGAGGCAGAGGGGAGGGGCGCCTGCCTTGCAAGTTGCATATCTGCCAACAACACACACACACACACACACACACACACACACACGTGTGACACTTTGGAGGTGAGCAGATTTATGGTTGCAGGAACTTAATCACACGCACAAAGAGTGATTCTGAACAGACATTGCAGAGGGTTGAGCTGGATGATCTTTGGAAGTCCCTTCCAGCTCTACAGTCCTGTATATAAATAAATGGAAGGGAGGAGGGAGATTGTAAACAGTGAGGCCAAGAGGCCAGGCGAGGCAAGACCTCAAACGCAAAGCTCAAATATGCCCAAGATAAGCATTTGACAGCGAGCGATAAGGCACAACCTTTTTAGCTTTGCCCTGCTGTTTCCAATCCTGTGGTGGGAGAGGAAGAAATTAACTCAGTGGGTACAAAACTTTTTGGGGGACCATTGCCCCCCAACTCTGCAATTCTCAGGTTCCAAACAGCAACGATTAATTGCAACCCAATTAAAACTCTTGAACTGCAGTGATTAATTTGACCCAGCGATTCCAGGTTGTGGAAGTCATTTATAACTCCAGCGCCCCACGCCTGCCCCCTTGCCCCTTGGCAATCCCATTGCCGCCCGCGTGATGCTGCCCATTTTGGGAGCCCCGGCACTAACTGATCCCTCTGCAGCTGATTCCTCTCGAAATGGTGCAGGAGGCTGCCTGCACCTCCAGGGTCAGAGCAGAACAATGGGCATAAGATCTAGACCAGCCTTTGCCAAGCAGGCACCCTCTCCACATGGCTTGGGGCTACAGCTCCCCTCTGGTGGGCACCCGCTTGGCAGAGCAGGCTGGTCTGTACCCAGCCAGTAAACAGTGCAAAGCTCAGCATTGCTGGGAAACATTCCTAGACCCCTGAGGCAAAGCACACTGTTTGCCGCCTTGTGGGCATGCAACGCTCGACCACAGACCGCCACATGCCTGCCAACCCCTGCTGAGCCCTGGGCTGTGGGAAGCGGCCCAGTAGTTATTATGGTCTGCAGAGTGGGCATAACACTTCCTCCAAGTCCTTTAAATAGCTCTAAGTGGGTCACGTTCCCGCACCTTTCAGGAACCACTGCACAGCAGGCGGGAATTCATCCGGTGCAGCCTCTTCTCAGCATGTTGGTGCGTTGGGGAGAGAAACCGGGCGAAAGCAGGGGACCCCCTTTAACATACCATGTTTGAAACAACAGATCCGTTTACTTAGAGAGGCAGGGTGGGGTAGTGGTTAGAGTACTGGACTAGGGCCTGGGAGAGACCAGGGTTCCAGATGCTAATCTTGACGCCTCCCATTCGTCTTTCCCTGTGCAAATGGCTCTGTTTTAACGCTGCCAGGGGTTTGCTGCAGATATATCCTGAGGCCGCCCCAGCTGCCGAGCATGAGGATGGGGTCGGATTCGGGTGGGGAGAGGTCACCCAGAGAGAGATCTCCCCAGCCCCAGCCCGCCTTTCAGGTGGGGAAAGCGGAGGAGCCTTCACAGCTTGGCCAAGCCCACCCAAGTGACTCAGTCGTTGGCCCGAGATTCGAACCTGGATCTTGCCAGAACTGCGTGCTCTGAAAACCGAGTAAATCTCTTTGAGGCAGCCTGGATCCTTTGACGAACTTGTGCCCTCCAGATGGTTCTGCCATGTACTAGTAATAAAACAGTCAGGCTGGGTTGGAGCAGCAGTTTTGTGGAAATGGTCCCTTTTGTTTGTTGCCGAAACCCCCAACCGAGTGGGGTCTGACGTGTGGTTCAGAGGTGAAGCCTCTGGTGCACCTTTTTCCCACCCCACCCGCTGGACCCACACGCCCAACAGCTGGGCTGGCCCCCCCTGAGGCTGGAGGCCGGCCAGTCCTGGCTGCCTCTCCGTAGCAACCTCCCGATCGCTCCCTTCCCAGGCCTTTGCAAATAAAAACAAAAGGCCATCGCTGAGTGCTCCCATCTGTTAGACTCGAACGAGGCCCTGCAGAGTCCTCGAAAACGCAGAGGCCGTGCTGAAGCTCCAGGACTTCTTTGTAGCCCTCCCACCTGTCTGCACATGCAAATAGCCTGGCTACAGGATCAGACCCATCTGGTCCAGCCCCCTGTTCTCACAGCGGCCAACCAGATGCCCGTTGTGGGAAACCCACAAATCAGGATTCGAACTCTCTTCCCTCCGGTGGTTTCCAGCAACTAGTATGCAAAACGATTGCTGCCTTCCACGGTGGGGCCCAGAAGACCCCCAACCCCATAGCCTTCTCCTCCTCCTCCATGAATTTGCCCGGTCCTCTTTTAAAATCCATCCAAGTTGCAAGAACTGAGATTCCAACGAAACATCAGGAAGAACTTTCTGACAGCAAGAGCTGTTTAACGGTGGGATGGATTCACTTGCAATGTGGTGGGCTGTCTCCTTCCTTGGCAGTTTTTAAGCAGAGGTTGGAGGGCCATCTGCCATGGATGCTTTTGTTGGGATTCCTGCATCGCAGAGGGTTGGACTGCCCTTCTTCCCTTATGGGGGACACAAGAGCCCTTATAGAGTCCTTTGCAGGTTCTCCATCGGTCGGAGAAAATAACAGAGGCCAACCAGAGAATATTGAGAAGCAAAGCAGCTCGTAAGCCTGATCTTTATTGATCTGTTGCAACAGGGTGCTCCCCTCACACGCAGGAAAGGAGGAGGACCCAGAACCAAGGTGTGCCCACCCTTATATAGACATTTTAAATTGCCCACCCTGCAGTCCAAGACCACCCCAGAAACATCATACCTACATCACAGAAGATGTGGTCTACAACAGAAATCTGAGTGCGTTGTTTACCTCCTGTCTGGCAGGCTACCTGTTAATGCTTACTTGATTGGATAGCCTGGGGAGCCTGACCAGTCTTTTGTAATGACAAATACTCAGTTCCTGAGCCAGGTCACAGTCTCACCCTATTCATAGGCAGACATACCCTTAAGACAGGATTTGTGAAGGAAAAGACAATGGGGAGGCTTTTCCATTTTCCCTTGACCTTGCAGAGAAAACATTTGGTCAGTTTTGGGAGTCAAAATGGTTTCCAGGGCTATTTTCCTGTGCTGCTTCAGACATGTGGTTTATATATTTATGTACATGTTTGCTTGGTATATTTATGAACATTTTTATATATAAGACCTTAATTTTTAAATTTCAGACTAGATGACCCTCGGGGTCCCTTCCTACTCTCTGATTCTCCCGATTCTAAGTTAGTGGCCATCCTTGCCTCTTGGAATCCCAATAGTTTAACTGACCTGATGATAAAACAAGCACCTCAAATGCATTGCTTAATGTTTTCTCTTCTGTATGCATGATGTGATGGTAAAAGAGAGAGAGCTTCTGAGCATGCACAGAGTTGTTTTACTTTAAAATGGAGCAATTGCGTCTTGCCCATCCTTCGCCCCTGAGATGGGGATGGACGGACGGATGGACATTCTTCTCCAGGTCAAAGGTCACATCCTACCAAGCCTCATCTGGAAGTACTTTGCAAGAATGACCTACTGAGTTAATGCAGTTGACTGGTTCTTTGGAAACTTTCCCTTTTTCTAATGGGATGAAGATGAATCTACATTCTGGAAATTAAGAGACAGGTTTGCGTGGATGCGAAAAGAAAACATACATTTCACACAGTGCTTGTCTTTACTGTGTTTTTTTTCTAGCCATACTGGAGGAGAAATGTTTTAATTGACTGATGAAGGACGCTGCTGCTTTTGGCCCTTAGATTCCCTCGGGCAAATCGTGGCATTGACACTTGCAAGGGTACCTCTGAGCATGCTCTGAGTGCTGAGTGGCGACAGGTGTGGGCCGCGCACAACCCCGCTTCAGAAATTTGGGGTGCCGCCAAAGCTAGCCCTACTCAGAGGAAAATTAACAGGCCTTCCTGAGTTGTTGTTGTTGTTTAGTCATTTAGTCGGGTCCGCCTCTTCGTGGCCCCCTGGACCAGGGCACGCCAGGCCCTCCTGTCCTCCACTGCCTCCCACAGTTCAGCCAAACTCATGCTGGTAGCTTCGAGAACACTGTCCCACCATCTCTTCCTCCGTCATCCCCTTCTCCTTGCGCCCTCCATCTTTCCCAACATCAGGGTCTTTTCCAGGGAGTCTTCTCTTCTCATGAGGTGGCCAAAGTCTTGGAGCCTCAGCTTCAGGATCTGTCCTTCCAGTGAGCACTCAGGGCTGATTTCCTTCACAATGGAGAGGTTGGATCTTCTTGCAGTCCATGGGACTCTCCAGAGTCTCCTCCAGCACCAGAATTCAAAAGCATCCATTCTTCGGTGATCAGCCTTCTTTATGGTCCAGCTCTCACTTCCATACATCACTACTGGGAAAACTAGAGCTTTAACTATACGGACCTTTGTTGGCAAGGTGATGTCTGTACTTTTTAAGATGCTGTCTAGGTTTGTCATTGCTTTTCTCCCAAGAAGCAAGCGTCTTTTAATTTTCATGACTGCTGTCACCATCTGCAGTGATCATGGAGCCCAAGAAAGTAAAATCTCTCACTGCCTCCATTTCTTCCCCTTCTATTTGCCAGGAGGTGATGGGACCCAGTGGCCATGATCTTCGTTTTTTTGATGTTTAGCTTCAGACCATATTTTGCGCTCTCCTCTTTCACCCTCATTAAAAGGTCCTTTAATTCCTCCTCACTTTCTGCCATCAAGGTTGTGTCATCTGCACATCTGAGGTTGTTGATATTTCTTCCGGCAATCTTAATTCCGGCTTGGGATTCATCCAGGCCAGCCTTTCGCATGATGAATTCTGCATATAAGTTAAATAAGCTGGGAGACAATATACAGCCTTGCCGTACTCCTTTCCCAATTTTGAACCAGTCAGTTGTTCCATATCCAGTTCTAACTGCAGCTTCTTGTCCCACATAGAGATTTCTCAAGAGACAGATGAGGTGATCAGGCACTCCCATTTCTTTAAATTTGAGCGTGTCTGTTCTGCAGACTCGACAGCGCTGAGCTCAATATCAGATGGTTTCCTATGTTCCTGAAACGGTGACTGGCCGTTCTCACACCTCCTCTCCCCCAAATGTACTCCCTACCCCGCTGTTTCCCCCCTTCCTGATGTTCCCCCTGACAGCAGAGAGGAGGATCAGAAATGCAACTTTTAAGAAAGGCGTTAGCAGCCTGGATGTTGGGAGAGACGTGTTTTCTGGGTTTCCGGAGCAACCATCTCCAGGCTGAACTCCCTGCTCTCCAAAAAAAAGTACATCTCAGGGCTGAATTTTTGAACCCTTCCCAAAACCGTCCTCTCCCACAGGTACGGAGCAATAAATCAGCCTGGAACTTTGCATCGCTATCTTCTTAACATCCCTGAGTTAAATCTGCAGGGTTATATATTGAAATAAAAAAAATTAATGTTCATAAATGTACCAAACAAGCACGTGCATAGATATGGGGACCACATGTCCTGGAGCAGCACAGGAAGACCGCCCTGAAACCATTTTGACTCCCTGACTGACCAAATGTTTTCTCTGCAAGGAGGGAGGGGGTGAAGCAACCTTCCATTTGTCTCAGGAATTGGGTAATCACCATCTCAAAGGAATGGCCAGACTACCAGGAAAGGCAATCAGATAAGGCATTATCAGATAACCTGGCAGACAGGGTAAAAAGAAGGCACTCGGATTTCTGTTGTAGACCACCTTTTCTGTGATGTAGGTATGATGTTTGTGGGGGGTGGTCTTGGGTTACACCCCTTCTGTGATGTATCTGTGATGTATGGAGGGGTGGTCTTGGACTCTAGGGTAGGCAATTTAAATGTCTATATAAGTGTGGGCACACCTTGGTTCTGAGTCCTCCTCCTTTCCTGCGTGAGAGGGGAGCACCCTATTGCAACAGATCAATAAAGATCAGGCTTACGAGCTGCTTTGCTTCTCAGTATTCTCTGGTAGGCCTCTGTTCTTTTCTCCGACCGATGGAGAACCTACAAAGGACTCTATAAGGGCTCCTGTGTCCCCCATAAGGGAATAAGGGCAGATTTTTCTTTATTGCAATATATTTTTTCTTGTTGCTGTTGTTTAGTCATTTAGTCGTGTCCGACTCTTCGTGACCCCATGGACCAGAGCACGCCAGGCACTCCTGTCTTCCACTGCCTCCCACATTTTGGTCAGGCTCATGTTTGTAGCTTCGAGAACACTATCCAACCATCTCATCCTCTGTCGTCCCCTTCTCCTTGTGCCCTCCATCTTGAAGCCAGTGTTAGAAATGCAGATATATAAACTGATTGCCAAAGGGCTCTTTAAACTTAGGTTCCAGTTGCCGCGACGGAATGTCCAGGCAACAATTCTTGTTGCAGCGAAAGGTATTATTGTTTTTCATTTCATTTCTATCCCGCTTTAAATCTTAGACTGGTTTACATTAAGGCATCATATGACACCAATTCCAGAATAAACCAAATGCAAGCTTCAAGGAAAATATCCCAGATCCTTCTCTAAGTGACATTTTTCTTTCCGTATAATTGTTTACCTACTTCATTTCTACAGCTTCCCCATAGCAGAAGGACTCTGGGAAGGCAGTGGGGTGTAGTGGTTAGAGTGTCGGACTAGGACCTGGGAGATGAGGGTTCAAATCACCACACACTGGGCGACCTTGGAGTCAAGTCTCAGCCTCCTAAACTACCTTACAGGGTCGTTGTGGGAATTAACTGGGGAGGGGGATGAACCACGTACACGTTGGAGAATAAATTGGGAGATAAATGCAACAAATAATCTCTTCCGCTCACCTGCTTAAGAAAGCTGGAGGGGCCGGCTGGGCGGAGATGACCGTTGCCAACCCGGCCTCCAGAGAGCTCCAGGGGGCCGCAATTTGACCCACGCCAGTCGCACGAATGAGAACAACAACAATAAATTTCGCAAGGGAAAAATGGCGCCTGGACATTCCTTTGTAGCGACCGTAACCAAGGTTTAAGGTGGGATTTGCCTTATATATCTGAGTTTCCAACACTGGTCCCTCTTTGAAGGAGGGTCTTCTCCTTTTGTAATAAACAGAAATCTGCCCTTATTTCCTTATGGGGGACACAAGAGCCCTTATAGAGTCCTTTGCAGGTTCTCCATCGGTCGGAGAAAATAACAGAGGCCAACTAGAGAATACTGAGAAGCAAAGCAGCTCGTAAGCCTGATCTTTATTGATCTGTTGCAACAGGGTGCTCCCCTCACACGCAGGAGACGGAGGGAGACCCCGAACCAAGGTGTGCCCGCCCTTATATAGACATTTTAAATTGCCTGCCCTGGAGTCCAAGACCACCCCCAAAACATCATACCTACATCACAGAAGAGGCGGTCTACAGCAGAAATCTGAGTGCATTGTTTATCTCCTGTCCGGCAGGTTACCTGTTAATGCTTACTTGATTGGATACCCTGGGGAGCCTGGCCAGTCTTTTGTAATGGTAAATACTTAGTTCCTGAGCCAGGTCACAGGGTCACCCTATTCATACACAGACATACCCTTCAGACAGGATTTGTGAAGGAAAAGACAATGAGGAGGCTCCCCCACCTCCTCCCTCCTTGCAGAGAAAACGTTTGGTCAGTTTGGAAGTGAAAATGGTTTCAGGGCGGTTCTCCTGTGCTGCTTCAGACATGTGGTCCATACATCTATGTATGTACTTAGTTGGTACATTTAGGAACATTTATTATACAGTGGTACCTCGGGTTAAGTACTTAATTCGTTCCGGAGGTCCGTTCTTAACCTGAAACTGTACTTAACCTGATGCACCACTTTAGCTAATGGGGCCTCCTGCTGCTGCTGCACCGCCGGAGCCTGATTTCTGTTCTCAACCTGAAGCAAAGTTCTTAACCCGAGGTACTCTTTCTGGGTTAGCAGGGTCTGTAACCTGAAGCATATGTAACCTGAAGCGTCTGTAACCCGAGGTACCACTGTATGTGTGTGTGTGTGTGTGTGTGTATACTGTATTTTTCGCTCTATAACACGCACCCGACCACCCGACCATAACACACACATAGTTTTTAGAGGAGGAAAATCCGTAGGCATGCCACCCGTAGGCATTTCCTCCATAACACGCACAGACATTTCCCCTTACTTTCTAGGAGGAAAAATGTGAGTGTTATGGTGCAAAAGGGACGCGGGTGGCGCTGTGGGTAAAACCTCAGCGCCTAGGGCTTGCCGATCGCATGGTCGGCGGTTCGAATCCCTGCGGCGGGGTGAGCTCCCGTCGTTCGATCCCAGCGCCTGCCACCCTAGCAGTTCGAAAGCACCCCCGGGTGCAAGTAGATAAATAGGGACCGCTTACTAGCGGGAAGGTAAACGGCGTTTCCGTGTGCTGCGCTGGTTCGCCAGATGCAGCTTGTCACGTGACCCGGAAGTGTCTGCGGACAGCGCTGGCCCCCGGCCTATAGAGTGAGATGAGCGCACAACCCTAGAGTCTGGCAAGACTGGCCTGTACGGGCAGGGGTACCTTTACCTTTATGGTGCAAAAAATACGGTGTGTGTGTGTGTGTGTATATGACCTTAATTTTTTTATTTCACTTTTTTTTCCCTTTGGTCCTCAGGAGCTGCTGTCTGAGGATGACGCCGAAGAGCTGGACCCGGTATGTGGCTCTCTCTCCCATGAATTTTACTATCTAACGAGACCATGGATCCATAAAACGAAAGCAATAACCAATGTACTGTACTATAAAATAAATAAGACAGTATTGTAGATGATAAAAATTTAAATAATTTTGTTCCCCTTACCTGCACTGATGATGGTCATTGTTTGGATGGGGGGCTTTTATCTATTTCCGCAGTCGCACAACCAGTCAATCAGTAGCTGAACTGGGTTCCACACAGTCGGAAAAAACAAATTAACCAAAAAAGCCTACCCCCCCCCAATAAATAGCAAAAACAAAAGCGCCAAACTTAATCCGTTCCGGAAGTCTGTTTGACTTCCAAAATGTTTGAAAACCAAGACGCGGCTTCTGATTGGTGTGGGCGCCCCTGAAACGATAGCCGACAGCCACATCGGACGTTCAGCTTCCGAAAAACGTTCGAAAACCGAAACACTTACTTCCGGGTTTTCAGAGTTTGAGAACCAGGGTGTTTGAGAACCAAGGTACCACTGTATACTGTACAGTGGTGCCCCGCAAGACAAATGCCTCGCAAGACGGAAAACCCGCTAGACGAAAGGGTTTTCCGTTTGCGATGCGCTTCGCAAGACGAAAACGTCTTGCGAGTCTTGCCATTTTTTCCCCACTTCCCCCCCCTTTTTCAAAGCCGCTAAGCCGTTAATAGCCTTTTAACAGCTTAGCCGCTAAGCCTTTAATAGCCACTAAGCCGCTAAATCGCTAATAGCGCTAATCCGCTTAGCCGCTAATGGGGTTGCTTCGCAAGACGAAAAAACCACTAGACGAAAAGAATTGCGGAACAGATTCTTTTCGTCTTGCGAGGCACCACTGTACCTGTAATTTTGCCTGCCCTCTGTGTCTTGCATTGTCCCTCTCTCCCTCTAGGTGGTGCTGTCTACCGGCTGGAGCAGCCAAGGCAAGTTCCTGCACCATTTTGCCCAGCAGGGGGCGCTGCGGCAGAGGAGACAGGGTGAGTGTCGCCGCCTCCCTCAATGGAGTGGATGGGGAGGAGAGCAGGCGAGGCACCTGATAGGTCAGGGAATGTGGGAGTCGTACAGGTGAAACTCAAAAAATTAGAATATTGTGGAGAAGTTCGTTTATTTCAGTAATTCAACTTAAAAGGCGAAACTATGATGGGACGCGGGTGGCGCTGTGGGTAAAAGCCTCAGCGCCTAGGGCTTGCTGATCGAAAGGTCGGCGGTTCGAATCCCTGTGGCGGGGTGCGCTCCCGTTGCTCGGTCCCAGCACCTGCCAACCTAGCAGTTCGAAAGCACCCCCGGGTGCAAGTAGATAAATAGGGACCGCTTTATATAGCGGGAAGGTAACGGCGTTTCCGTGTGTGGCGCTAGCTCGCCAGATGCAGCTTTGTCTCCGGACAGCGCTGGCCCTCGGCCTCTTGAGTGAGATGGGCGCACAACCCTAGAGTCTGTCAAGACTGGCCCGTACGGGCAGGGGTACCTTTACCTTTACCTTTTTAATATATGAGATAGACTCATGACATGCAAAGCGAGATATGTCAAGCCTTTATTGGTTATAATTGTGATGATCATGGCATACAGCTGATGAAAACCCCAAATTAACAATCTCAGAAAATTAGAATATTAAATGAAATCAGCAAAGCAAGGGCTGCAAATAGAGCAATATTGGACCTCTGAGAAGTAGAAGCATGCACATGTACTCAGTACTTGGTTTGGGCCCCTTTTGCATCAATTGCTGCCTCAATGCAGCGTGGCATGGATGCTATCAGCCTGTGGCACTGCTGAGGTGTTATGGAAGACCAGGATGCTTCAATAGCAGCCTTCAGCTCTTCTGCATTGCTCAGTCTCATGTCTCTCATCTGTCTCTTGGCAATGCCCCATAGATTCTCTGGGGTTCAGGTCAGGCGAGTTTGCTGGCCAATCAAACACAGTAATCCCATGGGCATTGAACCAGGTTTTGTCTACTTTGGGCAGTGTGGGCAGGTGCCAAAGTCCTGCTGGAAAATGAAGTCAGCATCCCCATAAAGCTCGTCTGCGGAAGGAAGCATGAAGTACTCCAAAATCTCCTGGTAGACAGCTGTGTTGACCCTGGACTTAACAGAGCACAGTGGACCAACACCAGCTGGTGACATGGCTCCCCAAATCTCTTTTCTGATGAGAGCAGCTTTTGCATCTCATTTGGAAACCAAGGACCCAGAGTCTTAGGTCCAGCTCTGAGGACCTTCTGGCGGTTCCCTCCCTGCAAGAAGCCAAGTTACAGGGAACCAGGCAGAGGGCCTTCTCGGTGGTGGCACCCTGCCTGTGGAACGCCCTCCCGTCAGTTGTCAAAGAGAAAAATAACTACCAAACTTTTAGAAGACATCGGAAGGCAGCCCTGTTTAGGAAAGCTTTTAATGTTTAAAAGCTTATTGTATTTTAGTGTTTTGTTGGAAGCCGCCCAGAGTGGCTGGGGAAACCCAGCCAAATGGGCGGGGTATTATTATTATTATTATTATTATTATTATTATTATTATTATTATTAATTTCTCCCCATTTCACAGCTGCCAAAGGCAAGCGCTCCCGGCCTCGGAGACCCAGCACTGTCTCAGCTGCGCACTACGAAGGTGAGAGAACGTGTGGCATGCTCCCTTGCGCCTTGCGCCCAGATCTGGCCCCACCCAGCCCACCTGCCGGGGGAAGAAAGCGGGGACCCTTCCCACAGCCCCCCTGCTTTTATTTGGGAGGGACTGCTTTGGTTTGGGGGGGGTCATCTTTCTCGCCAAACGGTGCTTCTCGCACTCTCAGGAACCCGCTCACGATCCCCTAGAGAACCCAGGAGTCCGGCCTGACCCGTCTTTTATTTTTATTCTTTCAGTGCAGCCCACTGAAGGACGAGCTGGGATCCAGGCAGGTAACACTTCTTGGGCTGGGGCTTCTTTAATGGCTGGGAGGGGAGAAGAGGGGATGGCTTCTGAGACCCTGTCTGCATAATAATAATAATAATAATAATAATAATATTATTATTATTATTATTATTATTTATTTATTTATTTATTTATTTATACCCCGCCCTTCCTGGTTCAAAAACCAGGCTCAGGGCGGCTAACACTTTAAAACACTTAATTATAAAAGCAGCATAAAATACAGTATAAAAACATGAATTAACAATAAAAATCAAAAATTCAAAAATCCCCAGGGCTAGCTGGCTGAATTGGTCCCACTTGGGCCAGCGAGGAGGCCAGGGGAGAATTAGCTGTGGGGTCTCAGAGCAGGTGATCTTCATAAAAGGGGAGGGGGAGGGAAGGAAGGGAAATAAAAGATCAGGCTGGATTCAAATTAAAGGCCAGGCGGAAGAGCTCTGTCTTACAGGCCCTGCGGAAGGAGGTTAAATCCTGCAGGGCCCTGGTCTCCTGGGACAGAGCATTCCACCAGGTCGGAGCCACCACTGAGAAGACCCTGGCCCTGGTGGAGGATAGTCTGACTTCCTTAGGGACCTCTAAACTATGATTATTCATGGACCTTAAGGTCCTCTGCGGGGCAGACCAGGAGAGGCGGTCCCGTAAATACAAGGGCCCTAAGCAGGCCACTTTAAACTGTCATGGCTTCCCCCAAAGGATTCTGGGAGCTGTAGTTTGTTATGGGTGCTGACAGTCGTTGGGAGACCCCCTAATTCTCCCCTCACGGAACTACAGTTCCCAGAGCTGTTTAACAACCGATCCCTCTTCGCAGGGAATTCTGGGAAACGTAGGTCAGGGAGTGGAATGGGGCCTCCTCTCAGCGCCATAACAAACTACAGCTCCCAGAATCCTTCGGGGGAAGCCAGGGGTGTTTAATGTGGTACGATACAGCTTTAAACGTGTAGCAAAAACAGGGCCTGGGTAATATTTCAACAGGACTTCCAAAGTGGGGATTTTTATCCATCTGCACCAAGTGGTATTGTATCACAGTAAACCGTCAAGGCTTCGCCCCTCCCAAGGGAACCCTGGGAACTGTAGTTTGCTAAGGATGCTGGGAGTTGATAGGAGACCCTGTTCCCCTCGCAGAGCTATAATTCCCTGGGAAGAAGGATTAACTGTTAAACCTCTCTGAGAATTGTATCTCAGCGCCTTTGGCAAACTACAACTCCCAGGGTTCTGTGGGGGAAGCGGAGACCGTTCAGAGGGGTATCAAGGCACTTTAAATGTATGGCTGTGAATGTGTGTGTGTGTGTAGTTTTTTTAAATATCCACAAATGTTTTACCGTATTGTTCGCTCCATAAGACGCACCTGACCATAAGACGCACCTAGTTTTTAGAGGAGGAAAACAAGAAAAAAAATATTCTGAACAGTGGATGTATGATTTTTGTGGTTCATGCTGTGGCCACAGACATGTGATCTGATGGTGAATTTGGGGTGACCCAATGCAAAAATCCTGAGGATCCATGTGGATCCGTGCTTTGTAACCACGTTTATGCGCCATTGCGGCCCCACGCAACATGGCTGCGTTATTTTTTTGGTGCAGGCTGCAGCCACGGACATGCTATGTGATCTGACGGTGGATTTTGGGTGACCCAATGCAAAAATCCTGAGGATCCACGTGGATCCGTTCTTATTTTTTATATATGCAGTTGTTAAAAAAGGTAAAGGGACCCCTAACCATTAGGTCCAGTCGTGGTTGACTCTGGGGTTGCGGCACTCATCTCGCTTTATTGGCCGAGGGAGCCAGCGTACAGCTTCCGGGTCATGTGGCCAGCATGACTAAGCTGCTTCTGGCGAACCAGAGCAGCGCACGGAAACACCGTTTACCTTCCCGCCAGAGCGGTACTGTGCTGGTCCAGGGGGGAGGTTACCGTGGGGTGAGGTCCAGGACCTGAGTCGAGGGTCGGCAGACAGTCCTCCACGGGCGAAGCGGGGTCCACAGCGAGGAGCCGGGCAAGGACAGGAACTCTGGGGGAACCGGACTGGGTGCTGGCCGCTTCTGGTGAACCAGAGCAGCGCACGGAAACGCCGTTTAACCTCCCGCCAGAGCGGTACCTATTTATCTACTTGCACTTTGACGTGCTTTCGAACTGCTAGGTTGACAGAAGCAGGGACCGAACAACGGGAGCTCACCCCGTAATGGGGATTCGAACCGCTGACCTTCTGATCGGCAAGCCCTAGGCTCTGTGGTTTAACCCACAGCGCCACCCGCGTCCCTATATGCAGTTGTTACATACATACATATACACGTGTGTGTGCGCATGGCACCATTCACATAAAAAAAACTACTGTAGATATTTTATCAAAATTTTCAAAAGCAGGACCCCGCTGGGTAATCGAACCAGGGGTAGCGAGGCAAATGGGGGAGATTTGGAGAGATGCTTTTCCAGCCACAAACTCCTCAACCGTTTCCTTCTCCCCCCACCCTGCCCCATAGATGCCGACGGGACCATCCGCGGGTGGGTGGAAGCTAAACTCAACACGACGAGCCCCCTCCGTTACGACAGCAGCCGGGGCGAATTCAGAGTGGCCAAGAGGGGCCTCTATTACCTGTACTGCCAGGTGAGGGCTTGAAAAAGTAATCTGGGGCCAGGGAGGGCCCAGGTGGTTTTTTGGGTTTTCAGGGGGGAGGAAGCGGAGACTTGTGGGTAAAAAGAGCAAGGCACCCTGGGAAATGATGAACTTTGGTTCTTTGGGGGGGCGGAGAGGGAGAAAGTACATTTCCCAAAGTTGTCGGTATTGATCTCCCGGGATCGGTGGGGCTGCGCAGGGGTGAATAAAGGTCTAGAGGTCAAAAGGGGGTTTACGAGTCTCAGCAATAAAGGGCACGAGCATGTACAGAGTGCCCCTGTCTGGCCAACAAGGACCCTCCGTATCCCATCTCTTTAGGTGAGATTAAAAAAAAAAAAATACAGCGTCGTCATTCTTTTGACCTTCTTTTTTAAATACACATTTTATTATTGCTAGCTAACGGCGACGGGTGGTTAATGTGAATTGTAAATACAGTGGTACCTCGGGTTACAAACGCTTCAGGTTACAGACTCCGCTAACCCAGAAATAGTACCTCGGGTTAAGAACTTTGCTTCAGGATGAGAACAGAAATCGTGCAGCGGCAGCAGGACGCCCCATTAGCTAAAGTGGTGCTTCAGGTTAAGAACAGTTTCAGGTTAAGAACGGACCTCCGGAATGAATTTAGTACTTAACCCGAGGTACCACTGTACTGACATTTCTTGACTTCTTTCTTGTTGCGAGTTCGCGAGGATTTGGGTTGGGCCGGTGACAGGTGTAGGTTAAGCCGATCGAGGGGTCAGCTGAACTCAGAGGTTTGGGAAATAACAAGAACAACAACAATAATTTATTATTTATATCCTGCCCATTTGGCCGAGTTTCCCCAGCCACTCTGGGCGGCTCCCAATTGAGTGTTAAAAACAATACAGCATTAAATTTTAAAAACTTCCCTAAACAGGGTTGCCTTCAGATGTCTTTTAAAAATAAGATAGCTGCTTATTTCCTTGACATCTGCTGGGAGGGTGTTCCACAGGGCGGGTGCCACCACCGAGAAGGCCCTCTGCCTGGTTCCCTGCAACCTCAGTTCTCGCAGGGAGGGAACCGCCAAAGGGCCCTCGGAGCTCGACCTCAGTGTCCAGGCAGAAGGATGGGGGTGGAGACGCTCCTTCAGGAATACTGGGCCGAGGCCGTTTAGGGCTTTCAAGGTCCTAAATTACACTAGTAGGGCTACAAGAAGTTTTGTAATGAGAACTATATGAAAGATTGCAAGGTAGAGAAAGAATAGAGATATTAGTTATGAGACTTAAAGGTAATAGTGAAAGTAAGAAATGTATGTTAAGTGACTAGATTGGAAAATTTTCAGATGTGATTGATGGAAGTCAAAAAAATTGTAGAAGATGTAAACACTAACACTTTGGAAGCACCAACATTTTGAATTGTGCTCGGAAACATACTGGGAGCCAATGTAGGTCTTTCAATACCGGTGTTATGTGGTCTCGGCGGAAGCTCCCAGTCCCCAGTCTAGCTGCCGCATTCTGGATTAGTTGCAGTTTCCGGGTCACCTTCAAAGGTAGCCCCATGTAGAGCGCATGGCAGTAGTCCAAGCAAGAGATTACTAGAGCATGTGCCACTCCAGCAAGAGTTCAGGCTGCTGCCTGCGAGGGATTCTTTAGCTGAGATTCCTTCATTGCAGGGGGGTTAGGCTGGATGGCCTTTGGGGGTCCCAGACAATTCTGCGATTCTGAGCTTATTCTCCATGTCACCCGCCCCCCTCCCTTGCCAGGTCCATTTCAACGAAGGGAAGACCATCTACATGAAGCTGGACATCATGTTAGACGGCGAGCTGGCCCTGCGCTGCCTGGAGCAGTTCCCCCCCACCAGCTCTGGGCCCCAGGACCCCGAACTTCGCGTCTGCCAGGTCTCCGGCCTGGTCCTGCTCCGGCCCGACGAATCCATCCGGGTCCGCACCATTGCCAACGTCCGCCTCAAGGCTGACCGTTACCTCACCTACTTCGGTCTCTTCCAAGTCCACTGAGACGAGGGGCGTCGAGAGGGAGGAGCTGGATGGTGCGCCCTCGCCCTTCGGGGAGCTGGATGTGGGGGTTCAGAGAGGAAGGGGGCAGGAGCCGCTACGGACTCGATTCCTGCGTTGTGCGGGGTTGGACTGGATGACCCTCAGGGTCCCTTTCACTTCTACGGTTGTAGGACTCCCTGCGTTCAGTCTTTCGGCCTTCCCGGCTCCCAGATCGGAGCAGCGCCGACGATTCGTTCCCCCTCCTCTTCCGATCTGGAACTTCCCATTTCGGTCCCACTAAAGAGGCCTTGGTCCATTCTTGTGGCGGGGAAAAGCTGCGTGCCCCGCTGCGGCCAGAAGCAGCCTTGCCACCCGTCCCAGGCTTGGGATCCCGTTGTTGCGAACAGGTGGGCCTCAGCCATTGCGATTTGTGATTCCTGCGTCGCATTGCAGGGGGTTGGTTTGGATGACCCTCGGGGTCCCTTCCAACTCTTTGAAAACAGAAGCCACAAACCAAAAAGAGAGAAAGGAAAGAGGAACTGGGTCGTTTGCATGGGCTCCCTAGACGGTTGCTCCATTTCCTTCTGGGAACTGTATTTTTCGCTGCTACACTTCTGCCTCTGCCGGGATCTGTGCCTTCCTAAATTTACAACGCCTCGTGTTCCCTACGTTATTCTGCTTTGTTTTCCGTTTCCTTTTCCGATTTTGTTTCTTGGAAGCTGCTGGACATTTGCCGTGGGTTGGGCTAGATGACGCCCCCAAAATCTCTGCAATTCTACGATTGTTTCAAAAGCCGTCCTGCTGGCACGGAGAGAAAGAGTCGCTGCTGAGGACCCTCCCAGCTTCAGCCCTTCTGACATATATACTGCTTCATGCCATGCGCAGTATATAACGCAAAGTTTAGAGGCACATCTTGTACATAGAGACTGCAGTTCGGGCAGCGGCCAGCAGGAGGCGACAAAGACACCCACAGGAACAGGAAGCGGCCTGCTTTGGTGGATCCCGCCCATTCCAGCCAGTCGAGGGCCAATGGGATTCAAAGAAGCTTCCCATTGGCCGCGGAGAGCAAAAGGGGATTTTTCAAAGGACAACACATAGGCTGACGCCTCTGTCCCTGCAGATAGATAGATATACAGTATAATCTCTGCTAGCCAGTGCCGGACTTGGATAGGGGAGGAGGGCCTGATCCTGATGGACGGAAAGTGATGCTGCTGTTACATTACCTGTTCATACCTGGGGCAGTGGGAGGGGCTGGGGTTTTAATGACCTGTTAATAACAGAAGAAAAGCCTTCTTAAAAAAATAATAATAACACGAACACGTTTATTTCCTTTTCAGTCGCAAAGTGGGGCACACAAACACACATAGCTTAGTTCTCAGACCTCACCCCCCAGGCCAAAGTCCGTTTCGGGGACCTAATCCGGCCCCTGTGGCTGTTTATTTCCTGGGGTAAAACCCTAAAAAAAGTTCCAACAACTCCAATCCTAAAAAAAAGGCCAACAACTTTGGTCGGCCCTCACGGCCCTTCACTTCATCAAATCTGGCCCTCTTTGAAAAAAGTTTGGACACCACTCAAATAGGATGAGCTTGTTCCAAATGCCTCAGACCCACACGATTTGGAGCTTCCGAGTGCTATGGAGCATGGGCAGAGGGCATTGCAGGGGGTTGGACTAAGTTGGCGCTCTGGGGCCCTTCCAAATGCCGCAATTCCATGTCGCCGCCTCATTACAGAGCCCCACGTTTCAGGGGGGCAACAGGGAGGATTCATGGTCGGTTGTCTCCAGTCGTCCGCAAGGGATTCCCACACAGCGGGGTTGATGTTTCCGGCCTTGGTTGTCCCATTTGCAGACATCCTTGCAACGCGGAGTTGGTCTGGCAACAGTCCTGGCGTCTGAAGCCAGCTCTCCATAGAGCACATTGGTGGGGATCTTGCCGTCTTCCATTCTGTAGGAACATGCTGAGAACATGGGTTCGGGAGAACACACTGAAATAAAAAAATTTAAGGTTATATATAAACCACATGCCTGAAGCAGCACAGGAAAACAGCCCGGAAACCATTTTGACTCCCAAACTGACCAAATGTTTTCTCTGCAAGGTCAGGGGAAATTGAAAAGCCTCCCCATTGTCTTGTCCTTCACAAATCCTGTCTGAAGGGTATGTCTGTGTATGAATAGGGTGAGCCTGTGACCTGGCTCAGGAACTATTTGTCATTACAAAAGATTGGCCAGGCTCCCCAGGGTATCCAATCAAGTGAGCATTAACAGGTAACCTGCCAGACAGGAGGTAAACAACACACTCAGATTTCTGTTGTAGACCACCCTTTCTGTGATGTAGGTATGATGTTTCTGGGGGTGGTCTTGGACTCCAGGGTGGGCAATTTAAAATGTCTATATAAGGGCGGGCACACCTTGGTTCGGGGTCCTCATCCTTTCCTGCGTGTGAGGGGATCACCCTGTTGCAACAGATCAACAAAGATCAGGCTTACAAGGTGCTTTGCTTCTCAATATTCTCTGGTTGGCCTCTGTTCTTTTCTCTGACCGATGGAGAACCTACAAAGGACTCTATAAGAGCTCTTGTGTCCCCCATAAGGGAAGAAGGGCAGATTTATGTTTATTACAACACCTTTCTTTGAGACTCTTTCTTTGAGACTCTGTCCTGCCAGGTGATGTCTCTTTGCTTTGTTGTTAAACTGCCCCGATGGTGATGGCAGTTTGGAGGAGGGTGAAGGGGCGGAATACCCCATCTTTGTTCCACAAGTGGGAGGAAAGGAACTCTTCCGGATAAACCTGAGTGCGTTATTTACTCTTGTTAAAAGAAAAAACTGCCCTTTTCCCTTATGGGGTATTCCGGAGCCCATATAGAGTCCTTAAGTGGGTTACCTATCAGTAGGAGAAAATAACAGACGCCAACCAGAGTATATTGAGAAGCAAAGCGGCTCGTAGGCCTGATCTTTATTCAAGGAACTGTTGCAACAGGGTCCTCACTCAGGAGGAGAACCCAGAACAATGGTGCACAAGCCTTTATATAGACTCTAGAAATTGCCCACCCTGTAGCCCAAGACATCATGCATACATCACAGAAGGAGGCGGTCTACAGCAGAAATCTTGTCTGCCAGGAGACCTGATAATGGTCACTGACTGCGTTACCAGGGCAGCCTGGCCATTCTTTTGTGGTGGTGAATACTTTAGTTCCTGAGTCCAGGGCACAGGCTCACCCTATTCATACACAAATGTGCCCTTAAGACAGGATTTGTGAGCCAAAAAGACAATGGGAAGGCTTTCCCCATTTGCCTCCCTTATGGCAGAGGAATATCTGAGGTCATTGGGAGAGTCCAAATGGCTTCAGGATTGCTCCCCCGTACCATTTCAGACACATGGTTCATATATTTAGATATGTGCGCATTTATGAATATTTATTCTATATTTGAGACCTTATAATTCTTGTAACACTCTACAGCCAGCTCAGCCGTCTTGTTGTTTGTTGTTGTTTAGTCATTTAGTCGTGTCCGACTCTTCATGACCCCATGGACCAAAACACGCCAGGCCCTCCTGTCTTCCACTGCCTCCCGCAGTTTCGTCAAACTCATGCTGGTAGCTTCGAGAACACTTTCCCACCATCTCGTCCTCCGTCGTCCCCTTCTCCTTGGGCCCTCCATCTTTCCCAACATCAGGGTCTTTTCCAGGGAGTCTTCTCTTCTCCTGAGGTGGCCAAAGTCTTGGAGCCTCAGCTTCAGGATCTGTCCTTCCAGGGAGCACTCAGGGCTGATTTCCTTCACAATGGAGAGGTTTGATCTTCTTGCAGTCCAGGGGACTCTCAAGAGTCTCCTCCAGCACCAGAATTCAAAAGCATCACTTCTTCGGCGATCAGCCTTCTTTATGGTCCAGCTCTCACTTCCATACATCACCACTGGGAAAACCAGAGCTTTTACTATACAGACCTTTGTTGGCAAGGTGATGTCTCTACTTTTTAAAATGCTGTCTAGGTTTGTCATTGCTTTTCTCCCAAGAAGCAGGCGTCTTTTAAAGCTCAGCCTGTAAAGGATGTGGGGTGACTTACGCACAGCACAACCGCCTTGCAAGGCAGGCCAGCTGCTTCCCAAACTATCCAATGGCCAATGCTGTCATCACCACCACCCTGATTAAGTTCTACAACTCCTGGGGCAGGGTGCGTTCTGGGAGGCCAAAGCAATCATTTCTGAAGGGGCTGCCTTGCAAGGGGTTGGAGCAGAGGACCCCAATCCTTTCCAACTTTACCGTGCTGTGAAACCAAGACACCTCGCTCACTCTGCCCTTATCAGCCGGGTTCCTCTCAGTTTATCAGGGACCAGAAGGCTTGCAGCAGCCAACTGCTTCCCCCACTCCTGGGGTCCATCGCAGCCCTGCTGCTCCTTTCCCTGCAAAGCCCCCCTCTTCCACCCCTAAAGGATGCCCCCAGGAGATTGCAAGGATCCAGACCCTGACAGCCAAATGGCAACAGTGTTTTATTAAGAACAGAAAAGGGAAGGTAAAGAAAGGAGAGAACAAAGCGGCAAAACAGGATGTTCAAAAACAAGTCTTTCTTATCTTAAACAAACAGGCTTCCTTATGAGTAACGCAGGGTAGGTAGGTGATGAGTCGCTGGGTTTATTTTATTTTTTTAATAATAATTTTTATTAATTTTAACATATAAATTATAATACATACCACAAAACTTCACCACTTATACAATTTTTTTTTTTTTGGACTTCCATCAGCACCTCTGATGATCCACCATTTTAACCACTTTTTATGCATTTCTTACATTCATATAGCCTTTAATTATCTTAACTAACCATGCTCCCCTTTATCCATTTTTGCAATAGTTCCAATAATTCACCTCACAAAACTTCTTGCAAACCTACAAACGTAGTTTGATCGTCACAATTACTTTTTGAGTAGTCTGTAAATTTACACCAGTCTTCTGTGAATTTCTGGTCCTGAAGATTTCGAATCCTTCCTGTTAGTTTATCTAGTTCTGCATAGTCCAGAGTCGCGGGGCTTTTTAATGGTTGGTAAGGGACTGCTAGGGATGCGGGTGGCGCTGTGGGTAAAACCTCAGCGCCTAGGACTTGCCGATCATCAGGTCGGCGGTTCGAATCCCCGCGGCGGGGTGCGCTCCCGTTGCTCGATCCCAGCGCCTGCCAACCTAGCAGTTCGAAAGCACCCCCGGGTGCAAGTAGATAAATAGGGACCGCTTTCTAGCGGGAAGGTAAACGGCGTTTCCGTGTGCGGCTCTGGCTCGCCAGATGCAGCTTGTCACGCTGGCCACGTGACCCGGAAGTGTCTGCGGACAGCCCTGGCCCCCGGCCTCTTAAGCGAGATGGGCGCTCAACCCCAGAGTCGGACACGACTGGCCCGTACGGGCAGGGGTACCTTTACCTTAAGGGACTGCTGGACTTCTTAAAGGTTTCCTGCCCAGGCTGGGTTGAGTGGCAATGCCTTTGCAGGAATTGGGCAGCGAGGAATGTCTGGCACGTTGCAGTCCAAGCTTGGGGATCTGGGAGCGCTGGGGACTGAGATTTCTTGGCAAACCACCCCTGTAATCTCGCAAACCTGAGCCAGGGGGAAGCAGCCCACCCGCTGCCTTGCCAGAACCAAGCCCACCATTTATCCCGTAACAAAGAACCAAGCGTCTGGGGTTCCAGATTTGGCGCCAAGTTGATTCCCAGAAGCCACACCAGGATAAACGCAGAGTTTTATTGAGGAGGATGTAAAGGTAAGAACTCGGTGCCAACCTTGTTCGCATCCGTCTCGAGAGACAATGGAGTGCGCCTCTGGGGGTGAAGTCAAACAAGCATCCCCAAAGTGACTTTCCCGGGCCCCCAAGCCTGGGCAGTGTGGCTGGAGGTCCTGGGCTGCCCAATTGACTAGACCCCCATCTCTGCCCTACTGATGGGGTCCAAAGGAGAGCAGAGCAAGACGTTTGGCACCAGCTTGGCTTGGAGTTGCCAGAAGGAGGCGTACAAGGCCTCATCCAACCGCCTTAGGGACTCCGCTTTGGATTTGTGTAGGGTTTAGTTTACGCGGATGGTGCTGGGGTCTAAACCACAGAGCCTGGGACTTGCCAATCACAAGGTTGGCGGTTCGAATCCCCGCGGCGGGGTGAGCTCCTGTTGCTCGGTCCCTGCTCCTGCCAACCTAGCAGTTCAAAAGCATGTCAAAGTGCAAGTAGATAAATAGGTACCACTCCGGCGGGAAGGTAAACGGCGTTTCTGTGCGCTGCTCTGGTTCGCCAGAAGCAGCTTAGTCATGCTGGCCACATGACCAGGAAGCTGTATGCCAGCTCCCTCAGCCAATAAAGCGAGATGAGCGCCACAACCCCAGAGTCGTCCGCGACTGGACCTAATGGTCAGGGATCCCTTTACCTTTAGCTAGCAGGTAAAGGTACTACCTAGCAGGATTGGTTTTTTCCTGCTCACCAATCACCCAGCATCCTTCAAGAGCCAGTGTGGTGTAGTGGTTAAGAGCAGTGGACTCATAATCTGGGTAACCGGGTTCGCGTCTCCGCTCCTCCACATGCAGCTGCTGGGTGACCTTGGGCCAGTCACACTTCTTTGAAGTCTCTCAGCCCCACTCACCTCACAGAGTGTTTGTTGTGTGGGAGGAAGGGAAAAGGAGATTGTTAGCCGCTTTGAGACTCCTGAAGGGGAGTGATAAAGCGGGATATCAAATCCAAACTCTTCTTCTTCACAGCAAAGGAACTCCTTGGGATGCGGTTAAGGCTGTTTCTGGCCAAAGGAGCTTTCCCGGGAGAATCCTTTACAGCTGCACGGGCACCGTAAATTTCAAGCACACTCCACACACAAAATACTGGGAGCTGTAGTTTAAGGCGCTGGGAATCGTAGCTCTGCAAGGAGTCAACTGAAGTGCCCGCAATTCTTTGCAGGCGATTGTGGTCTGTGTGCTCTTAAGGGGTGGCATCTACACAGCAGTTTCGGAAGCTTTCATTAGGCATCCTGGCTGGGTCCGCGAGTAGAAGAAAAAGGCTAAGGATCTCAGGGGTCGAAGGCCGAGATGGAAAGAGGGGCACCTTCAGCCTTTGCCAAATCCTGAGCAGCGATGGTGCTAGGTGCACCTCTGAGGGGAGGGAGTTTCGAAGCTTAGGGGTCGCCACTGAGAAGGCCCTGTCTTGGCATGCAGAACGCTTGAAGAGAATGTTATTAAAATGGCGTACAGGTGGCATTTAACACCAGTTAAATTGGCCAAAATGTACAGAACAAAAAAATGAATGTTGGAAATGTAAGGAAAAGGAAGGTACTTTCTACCACATGTGGTGGTCACATAAAGAGGTAAAAGCTTTCTGGGAAATGATATATAATGAGCTAAAGAAAACACTTTTGTTAAAAAAAACCAGAAGCTTTTTTACTGGGGATAGTGGGTAGAGAGGTACTGGCAAAGTGGCGAAACTGACTGGAAGAATCCGGAACCAGCGAGACCAAGCATTCCAAAAGGACTGGAATAAATTTATATTATATATTTTTTCTTTTTTATTAAAGATTTTATTTCTTTCTTTATATTATATGTGAAAGACAACTGTCAGCAATTACCATCACTAGCAGGGTTATCTGAAGATTTGTAAGATGAAATTGCTACCTATCCAGGGTTGAGTAATACAATATTTTCGGTAGCGATATAACAAGGATAGGAAACAAAGCGAAATGTAAAGATGCCAAGTTTAATTTTGTGAACCGTCAGACGGGAGGGAGGGAGGGAAGCCGCTAGGCTTAGTTGAGGCAAAAAGATAAAATAAGAGGAGACAGTGTTATATAATGTGCTTACAGTATATGTAAAACCAATATTTATTTTATTTTATTTTTTAAGAGAAGGCCCTGTTCTGAGCTGCATCTACAAGAGGGCCTCTTCTGCTGATCTTTGCACCCAGTGGGTCTCTAGGGTCTTGCCACCCCGGAGGCTACCTTTCCTTTCCCTTTCCTCTTTCATTACCACTGGATATTCTGCCCGCCTACTAATAGGCATTTATTAATTGCGTCTGTGCCCAGCCCTTCACGGGGCAACGTTCACCCTGTCCCTCCCCTCCCACCTCATCCCTTACATTGAGCCTCTCACTCTCTCGTAGTCCGCATTCAAACCCCACATTCGGTGCCTTTAAACACCACAAAGAATTGTGGGAATTGTAGTCTATGAGGGCGCTGAGAATTGGGAGAAAACCCTTTCCCCTCCCCTCACAGCTCCTAGAGTTCCCTGGGAATGGACTGTTAAAACAGCCATGGCTCCCCCCCCCCCCCGGTGTTAAGTTGTGGGCAAACATGTCAGACAACACAGCAATTTCTTTAAACAGCTCTTCTTTATTCAGATGCCAGAACAGAACTAGGCTGAGGAGCTCAGTCAGCCTGCTTATATAGAGCTCCAGAACAATGCAACTGTTGCCATTTTCTAAAACTATCCAATCACTGAACCTCACTTTTTGATCCTTCATTTGCATAACTATCTACAGTATCCCCCTGCTGGCCCAGGGTAAGAACTTCAATACATAACACAAGGAATCCTGGGAGTCGTAGTTTTGCTGAGGGCGCCGGAGTTTTTTGGAGACCCCCGTCGTTCCCCCTCACAGTTCCTGGAGAAGAGGGTCTTGTTGTCAAACCGCTATGGGAATTGTAGCTCTGTGAGGGGAAGCTGGGGGTGCCCATGTAGCCTTATGAGGCTTTGCCCTCGGGTGGGAAAAATATTGTGCCCGGGAAAGGGAAGTGGGAGTCAACAGACACTCAAGGAATAGTTTCGGAGAAAAGGCTTTTATTTCTACCATCCATGAACTGGTAGAAGGAGCAAGTGTGATAACTCACAAAAAGCATGCACGAGTTCACAGTGATGTGCACAAGCATATACCGGTATACGCTTCCAGTTCCCTCCCCCTTTCTCCTTCCTTCTTCCAGAGTCCTGCCTCGAGTTCCTCTGAGCATGAACAGAAAGCTCCTGTCTTGGGACTCTTGGACTCTTGGCGCCCTTCCCAGGAAGGGGGAATGAAAGCGGCAGTGGCGTAGCGTGGGGGGTGCAGGGGGGGCCGGCCGCACCGGGTGCAACATCTGGGGTTAGGGTTAGGGGCGCAAATCCACAGGTTAGGGGGCACAAATTACTTGCCTTGTCCCGGGTGCTGAGAACCCACGCTACACCACTGGAAAGCGGTTCAGCATGTCCAGAGATGTTGCAACTAGAATAAGATTCGTTTCTCAGGCCTGAGTATTCTTGGCATTGACAGAGGCTATTCATTAGCCTTTAAAAGTAACATCTTGCCTTTTGCCACAGCATCTTGTGATAGAGCAGAGAAAAGCTGTTTTGGATTTTTAGAAGACAAAAGGAATTCTGGACAGTTTTGAGGCCTGGTGTGATTATTGAAGCCTGGGGTGATTTCACAGACAGGATTTGGGTATCCTGTCCCTTCACCTTCAACTTCAGGAAACTACAGTTCCCAGAAGTAGCCGTGACGGCTTCAGGTGGCACCACAGCGCTTTAAAGGCATGGTGCCAGTGTGGCTTGCCTCACAGGTTTGCCGTGAGGCTCCGTGCAAAGAAAAGGAGTCCCTTTGAGAAACTGGCATGGGAGGGTGCCAAGCAGTGCCAACACGCTTCCCTACTCTGAGATCTGGGTGCCGGACGACCCGGAGAAAGCTGCCTCTTGGCCTCTCTCCACGCTGGGTGCCGAAGGCAGCAGTCTGTAAGCCTGCTTCCTCAAAATCTTGCACAACCTTCTCGGCTGTTCTTGGCACGGGTTCAGATCCCGCCCGGCGGAACAAGAGGCAGAGACGGCCAAAGCCAGATGCATGCCAGCGCTGCCGGAGGTAGGGAGACTGGGTGCGTGTGTGGAGGATTGGCACCCCGTCGCCTTGAGCACCCAGTGGACGCTGGACCCAGGGAGGGCTGGCTTTTCAGGGTGCCCAGAATTCGGGTATCAGATGGGCAGAGGCTGAGTTTCAGCTGAACTGGCAGCAGGTGTCCTTTGGGGACGAAGAACCTAGGGCAGACCAGGGGCTGTGTATTGTGTTTGGAGGGCATGCAATGGGGATGTTTTCGTGCCCAGGGGACCCTGGCAAGCAAAAAGGGTCTCCTTAAGAGGAGGGGTGGTTTTTGTGTGTGTTTTTTCCAAAGGCCAGCCTAGGTTCTCCAAGGAAAGGAGCAGTAGAGGGTGCAGTTTTCCTAGGTTCTGCTCCTGAGAATCTGGGCGCAGGAATCCTGCAGCTCTGGGGCGTCTGAAGTCGAGGGGGTCACCAATTTTGGACCTGCCAGGCCATTTTGGGAGAGCAGGGACGGTCCGCCCCCCCCCCATATGGCAAAGACAAGGTCACAGCGAGGGTCCTCTGAACAGCACCCCTCTCTGCCCGCCGCCGTCTGGCTGGGTGGGTGTTTCCTGGGGGTGGGATTCCTGGCCTGCCTGCTCGCTTTGATCTGCACCCAATGGCGCCTGGAAACTCTGCGCGGAGAGCTGTCACAGCTGCGAGGGGAGGTGCGATCTGCCACACACGAGACGGTGGGGGGCCAGGACGCCCCCAGGCCATGCCAGGTAAGCGGGAGTCGAGACGGGCGCAGGGGGGAGCCGGAAAGGGGCACAGCAAGAAGGGAGGCGGTGGGTGGGTACTGGCCCACATGGATTCTGATGGAAGGGACCCTGGGAGTCATCTAGTCCAACCCCTTTCAACGCAGGGATCTTTTTGCCCGATGTGAGATTCGAACCCACAACCTGTCCTGTGCTCCACCGAGCGAGCTCTCCCCGGGATATGTTCACATTTTCAGCTTGAGGAGCAAACTTCTCAGTGCCTGGGAAACCGCCAAGGAGCAAAGAGTTCTTCTGAGCATGGGCAGAGTGCCTTCCCCACACCACGGTTTGGTTTCTGACCTAAATGTCTGGGGGAGAAGCGAGGCCCACGGAAGGTCAGAAGTGATGTGATCTTTGAATTCTGGAGAGCTCTGTTGTTTCAAGCGTGGTGCCAAGGTTGTGGGTTCGATTCCTGCATATTCCTGCCTGGCAGGGGGTTGGACTAGATGACCGCCAGGGTCCCCTTCCAACTCTACAATTTGGTGATTTCTGCCGGAATCGGTTAAGGCAGAGCATCTTAAAAGGATGAGGGCAAGAGGAATTCCTGCTAGAGGGCAGGAGGAAGGAGAATGAAAAGAGCTTGGCAAATGTTTATTGAATATATGAGGGGGAATTGTGTACACCAGAAAAACACTGGCAGCATTAAGATAAATTCAACAGCGTAAATAAGTTTAGGTGGCTCTAATAATGGAATACTGAATGGTTTACTTTTTGTAAAATATGCAGGGGGTTATGATATGTAAAATGAACCACGGAAAGAGAAGAAGGGAAGTCGTTGATATTATCAGGATGTTGAAATGAGTGTTTTAAATTTAATAACATTGTATTTTTATTTTATTTTTTTAAAAAACTGATATTTATTACTTTTCCAACAATTTAAACACAACACTACAAAGGGAAAAAAAGAACAGAACAATACAATACAATACAAAAACACTACATAACACTGACACATTAAACTAACTTAACCAAACAAAAACAGTTTAAAACACATCAAACAATTTCAGTATCTTATCTTTCATTCACTTATTTCCACGACCTCCTCACACCTCCCTTTTTGTATTCCACTTCTATTAGTTGTTTCAGCAATTCCTTTCCATCTTCCTCTGTTTTCTATCCTATAATTATCTTAACACATTCTAACCTTATTTTTCCTTTAATATTCTATTAATCTATTTATACTTAATTCCTTATAACATTTCTACTAAAGCCATATCAATTCATTCCAACATTCTTCTAACATTCATTAATTTTACAATGTTTCTGTAAATAATCTCTAAACTAAATTTAATAACATTTTAATATCATAAAAGAGAGAATGGAAAAGCTTTGTGTTACAATGGCCTTGTGAAATTTCGGGAACTTCGGAGTTCCCCGTCTTCGAAGAACCAACTTTCCAACCCAACCCTGCAAAATGGTGTGGATTTATTGAATTGGGGTTTTAAAAATGGAAACCTTCCCCAAAACATTCCTTTCCCTCCTGTTCCCTCCCCCCGCAAACCAGATTTCTTTCTTTTTCCCAGCAAAAGCTTACATTTTATTCTGGTGGGGTTTTCCTCAAATCCCAACTGGGCGCAAATCCAGTCTGGGCAGGAATGAAGGCACAGATTCCCAGAAACTGCGCAATTTCAAAAAATCCAAACTTTTTTCAAAGAGGGCCAGATTTGATGAACTGAAGGGCCGTGAGGGCCGACCAAAGTTGTTAACCTTTTTTTAGTATTGAAGTTGTTCTTGAGCTTTTTTAAGGCTTTCACCCCAAAGTTCTTAAGCTTTTTTTAGGATTGAAGCTGTTCTTGAGGTTTTTTAGGATTTTGCCCCAAAGTTGTTTAAGTTTTTTTAGGATTTTAACCCAGGAAACAAACTGCTGCAATGGCCGGATTAAATCGACTGGCAGGCCGATTTAAGCCCCCGAAACGGACTTTGGACATTCCTGATTCTGGGGAAAAGGAGAGAGAAGATACAATAATTCTCATGGAATATGTGAATTATAGGAACAGCTCTTAACGTCAGAAGTAAATAAAAGAGGGAAAAATCCCTCTGAGCATGTGCAGAGTCAAGCCTTCAGTTCTTTCTTCCAAGCTGCTTTCCTCACAAGCTGTAGGTGGCCTGCCTCCTAATATGTACGCGTAGGTGAGGAGAATGCACTCTGCACATGCTCAAGGGCACCGTTGTTGTTCTGTCACATATTTCAAGATTAGGGGCTTGGCCTCTGTGACTGACACTGACTGCAAACTTGCGGAGAGGACCCAGGAGTCCGGTCTTCCAGTCACCTCCCCAAGCCCACACTAGATTCTCCTCTGGGGCGGGGGGCAGAGATGAGGAATTTTATCCATTCTGTTTCTCTCTGTTTTTCAACTATGCTGTTATTATTATCGTTATTCCTATCATTTATTCTTATTATTAACTAGCTGCCCTTCGCCTTAAGGTCCCAGGGCGGCCCACAACATTAGAAACAGTTTAAATAATCGCAAAAATAAGGTGGGTCGTAAAAATATATGCCTCAAGTGTCAAGAGAAGTCAGGACAAAGGGGTGTAAATTTCTCCCGATATTCTTCCATGCATTTTTTTGCATGTGATTCTCACCAAATTATACCTGTTTTTACGCACCCTTTACCCCAGTAGATGCATTTTTGCAAAGATTCCCTTGGGCTAGGAGCACTGCTCTGCAAAATTTGGAGAGGCCCGAATTTCAGAGAGGGTGCATATTGTTGCAGAAAGTACAGATTGGGCAGGCCTGCCTTGTCACCCCATCCCTTATCGCATCTTACCTCCTTCCCTTTTGAACTTCCTGTTCCGTAGTTCGCTGGAAAAAGGGGGAATAAACACACACGCACACAGAAAACATTGTCTGTGTGAAGACGGAAGCAGGTGTTCCCATAACCTGAAGGCTACAAGTCCCCGGTTGCCTCTCCCTCCATCCTGAGACCAGGAAACTGCTCTTAGGTGTGCCTCCTCTAAAGCAGGTTGCCAACTTCCCCCAACTGGTCCTGCTGCTGCGCTCTTATCCAAACCCCGACACGCAGAAATTAAGCCGATTCACCTGCCTTTCCATCATCTGCACGCCTGGGGAAATTGCACAAGCCATTTTCTTTTGCACGCCAGAGAGTGCTGCTAAAAGCACAGGAGCATAGCTGGTGAAGCAAGGCGGGAAGCTGGCAACCCTTCTCTCAAGCGAGTCTGCAGACTTAGGATTGCCAAATGTCCTCTTTTTCACGGCGAGAGCTGTCGTCGCGATCCATAGTTAAAAATAGAAGTTGGCAAATATGTCCTCTTTTTTGCTCTCGGAATATGGCGGCCTCTTTTTAAAATGTGCTTTTAAAAGCCTTGTTTTGCTGCTGTGGGGAAGGAAGAAAGGGCGCAGACAGACAGAGGCTTATTGTGGGATCAGCATTGCTCATGCACAGAGTTTTTCTTTCGTTTTGCCTTTGTCGCCCTCAAGATGCCAGCCTGTACGTTTTATTTACCACCATCCGGATTTCCTCTTGCTGCGGGAAAACCCTTTATGAAAAAAACAATACGTTACACATACACAGTCACCGCCAATGTGGAAGCAGTAATGTTGGCGCTTTTGTGGTGGGGAGGGGTTGGGGCAGTTTGTCGTGTGTGTGGAGTAGGGTTGACAGTTCAGGAGCATCGCAAGACTTTGAGATGTCAGGTCCCTAAACTGCCCCTGGTGATGGGCGAGGGTAGCTTTTGGAGACAGAGGTTAATTGGGAGAGGACACCCGCAGAGTGTCTTTGTAAAAACTGGCATAAAAAGGTAAAGGTACCCCTGCCCGTACAGCCAGCTCAGCCGTCTTGTTGTTTGTTGTTGTTTAGTCATTTAGTCATGTCCGACTCTTTGTGACCCCCTGGACCAGAGCACGCCAGGCACTCCTGTCTTCCACTGCCTCCCGCAGTTTGGTCAAACTCATGCTGGTAGCTTCGAGAATACTGTCCCACCATCTCGTCCTCCATCGTCCCCTTCTCCTTGCGCCCTCCATCTTTCCCAACATCAGGGTCTTTTCCAGGGAGTCTTCTCTTCTCATGAGGTGGCCCAAGTCTTGGAGCCTCTGCTTCAGGATCTGTCCTTCCAGTGAGCACTCAGGGCTGATTTCCTTCAGAACGGAGAGGTTGGATCTTCTTGCAGTCCATGGGACTCTCAAGAGTCTCCTCCAGCACCAGAATTCAAAAGCATCCATTCTTCAGCCATCAGCCTTCTTTATGGTCCAGCTCTCACTTCCATACATCACTACTGGGAAAACCAGAGCTTCAACTATACAGTGGTACCTCTGGTTACGTACTTAATTCAGTTCTTAACCTGAAACGGTTCTTAACCTGAAGCACCACTTTCACTAATGGGGCCTCCTGCTGCCGCTGCGCCGCCGGAGCACGATTTCTGTTCTCATCCTGAAGCAAAGTTCTTAACCCGAGGTATTATTTCTCGGTTAGCGGAGTCTGTAACCTGAAGCGCCTGTAACCTGAAGCATATGTAACACGAGGTACCACTGTACAGACCTTTGTTGGCAAGGTGATGTCTCTGATTATTATTATTATTATTATTATTATTATTATTACCACCACACACCTGGAGACTGAAGCCTGCCCCCTGGAGGCGGCCAGGCCAACCTGGCGATGTCATGTCAGACCTGGAGGTCCCTAGTGTGGTGACAATTCGGTGAGTGGTACCCATTGCTACTCCCCTCTTTCCACTTGCTCCTCACCTGAACACAACCACACCGAAAAGGACACGGCCGTGGGAACTGACAGGATGGTTGAAGGCAAAACAGCACTCTTTTAAAGCCAAACACCCAAGTTAACGCCATTCCTCTCCGGTTTGGTTTCAGAGTCCTGGAGATCTTCCGGAGAGGTCTCCCACACATCTGGAAAGGAGGAGGAGAAGAAGGGATACTGGGAGAACCCCTCAGGACTCGCCACGTCCCCGCAGTAAGTAGGCCATTGTGAGATTTGGCCGTTGTTTTGTGATGGTTAATACTTTGCTTCCTGAGTCCAGGTCACAGGCTCACCCTATTCATACACAAATGCATCCTTCAGACAGGATTTGCAAGCGGAAAAGGCAATGGGAAGGCTTTCCCCATTTGCCTCCTTTACTGCAGAGGAATAAAGGTAAAGGTAAAGGTACCCCTGCCCGTACAGGCCAGTCTTGACAGACTCTGGGGTTGTGCGCCTATCTCACTCAAGAGGCCAGGGGCCAGCGCTGTCTGGAGACACTTCCGGGTCACGTGGCCAGTGTGACATCGCTGCTCTGGCGAGCCAGCGCAGCATACGGAAACACCGTTTACCTTCCCGCCAGTAAGCGGTCCCTATTTATCTACTTGCACTTTTAAGGGTGCTTTCGAACTGCTAGGTTGGCAGGCGCTGGGACTGAACAACGGGAGCGCACCCCGCCGCGGGGATTCGAACCGCCGACCTTTCGATCGGCAAGCCCTAGGCGCTGAGGCTTTTACCCACAGCACCACCCGTGCAGAGGAATATTTGAGTTCAATTTGGGAGAGTCCAAATGGCTTCAGGATTGCTCTCCTGTACTCTTTCAGACAAGGGACGCGGGTGGCGCTGTGGGTAAAACCTCAGTGCCTAGGACTTGCCGATCGTATGGTCAGCGCTTCGAATCCCCGCGGCGGGGTGAGCTCCCGTCGTTCGGTCCCAGCTCCTGCCCACCTAGCAGTTCGAAAGCACCCCTAAGTGCAAGTAGATAAATAGGTACCGCTTTATAGCGGGAAGGTAAACGGCGTTTCCGTGCGCTGCGCTGGTGCTGGCTCGCCAGAACAGCTTCGTCACACTGGCCATGTGACCCAGAAGTGTCTGTGGACAGCGCTGGCTCCCGGCCTCTTAAGCAAGATGAGCACGCAACCCCAGAGTCGGTCACGACTGGCCCTTACGGGCAGGGGTACCTTTACCTTTTACTCTTTCAGATACATGGTTCGTATATTTAGATATGTGTGCATTTATGAATATTTACTCTATATTTGATGAATATTTATTCTATATTCGGGCGCACAGCGCACTCTCCCAGCTTTACAGGCACCTGTGCGCAACGACACAGTGAGGGTCACAGCTGGCTAGACAGGTGGCCAAGTCGGGTCTCCCCCTTCCTGTTTCTTGTTTTCGGCCCCACAGAGCGAGGAGAGGAAGGCTGGAGAGGAAGCACAAGTGAAGTTGGAGGGGAAGTGAAAGTGATACTGTATTTAAATAATCCAGAGCTCCCTCCTGAGGATACATGGCTGAGCAGAGAGAGGGCCTTCCTGGCTACAGGGCCCTGGATGTTGTGCAGAGATTTCCGCCCGATGCCAAATTTGGTTTATTTTTGGCCCCGGCTACGATAGCATGGCAGTGTTCGCACTTTGGAACTCCTTGCCACTTGACATTAAGCACTCTGTTCGGCGCCTGCTAAAAACATTCTCATCTAGACAAGCTTGCCCAGATGCTTAGAAGGCGGAGGTGATTTTAATCTGTTTTAGCATTATGGCTTCTGCGTCCTTTAAAGCACGGTTGCAATCTTTTCGTAAACTGCTTCAACGTATATGGTTATTTTTCCTTACAATCAAGCGGTGTGTACATTTTGCCCTGTATACCTGAAAGAGCGGGTGGCGCTGTGGGTTAAACCACAGAGCCTAGGACTTGCCGATCAGAAGGTCGGCGGTTCGAATCCCCGCGATGGGGTGAGCTCCCGTTGCTCAGTCCCTGCTCCCGCCAACTTAGCAGTTCGAAAGCACATCAAAGGGCAAGTAGATAAATAGGTACTGCTCCGGCGGGAAGGTAAACGGCGTTTCCGTGTGCTGCTCTGGTTTGCCAGAAGCAGCTTAGTCATGCTGGCCACATGACCCGGAAGCTGTACGCCGGCTCCCTCAGCCAATAAAGTGAGATGAGCGCCGCAACCCCAGAGTTGGTCACGACTGGACCTAATGGTCAGGGGTCCTTTTACCTTTACCTTTTACCTGAAAGAGCACCTCTGCCTCCATCATTCAGCCCGGACACTGAGGTCCAGCTCCGAGGGCCTTCTGGCGGTTCCCTCCCTGCGGGAAGTGAAGTTATGGGGAACCAGGCAGAGGGCCTTCTCGGTGGTGGCGCCCTCCTGTCAGATGTCAAGGAGATAAATAAATAGACCTTCTGTAGACATTTGAAGGCAGCCTTGTACAGAGGAGGTTTTAATTTTTGATGCTTTATTGTGTTTTTAAAGTTTGCTGGAAGCTGCCTGGAATGGCTGGGGAAATCCAGTCAGATGGGCGGCATATAAATAGTAAAAATGTTTATTATTATTATTATTATTATTATTATTATTATTATTACCTGCTAGGAAAGCAGTCCGTCCTACATTTGGCTCCCCTCCGACATTCCAACAGTGGTGAGTTTTCTTCTCTCTCTTCCATGGATCTGTGTGGCTTTGTCATTCAATCTTCTGACTGTTGTTAAGATTTGTGTGAAATGTGTGTCTTCTGGTTGTTCTGTGTATTGTTGTACACAAAATCAGTCTGCCCTTCTTCCCTTATGGAGTACCCAAGAGCCCATACAGAGTCCTTACGTGGGTTCCCTATTGGTAGGAGAAAATAACAGAGGCCAACCAGAGAATATGGAGAAGCAAAGCAGCTCCTAAGCCTGATCTTTATTGATCTGTTGCAACAGGGTGCTCCCTTCACACGCAGGAAAGGAGGAGGACCTCGAACAATGACGCACAAGGCCTTATATAGAAATTTTACATTCCCTGCCCTGGAGCTCAAGACCACCCCTCCATATATCATACCTACATCACAGAAAAGGCGGTCTACAGCAGAAATCTGAGTGCGTTGTTTACCTCCTGTCTGGCAAGTTACCTGTTAATGTTACTTAATTGGATACCCTGGGGAGCCTGGCCAGTCTTTTGTAGTGACAAATACTTAGTTCCTGAGCCAGGTCACAGGCTCACCTATTCAAACACAGACAGACATACCCTTAAGACAGGATTTGTGAAGGGAAAGGCAATGGGGAGGCTTTTCCATTTTCCTTTGACCTTGCAGAGAAATCATTTGGTCAGTTTGGGAGTCAAAAATGGTTCCAGGTTGGCCTTCCTGTGCTGATCTATGTACGTGCTTGGTTGGTACATTTATGAACATTTATTATAAATCTAAGACTTTAAAATTCTTATCACAGTATAAAACTGTGCAGTCCTCTGCAATTCCTTCCTCTTGTTTTCTTTTAACGACACGAGACTGCAGAAATGCGCCATCCTTAACTTTTAAATTCCCCCGAAAATGCATTCTCTATCGCCATCACCCTTTAGTCTCGCAGTTCAAAAACACTGATCCGTTGTTTATAATTATTTCCTGGCTCAGCTGCTGCAATTCTCCTTCCAGGTTTCTTATTTGTTGAAATCATGATCATTTTGTGCTTGTGCGCTGTTCCGCTTCCAAGACTCTTTGAGCCTGCAAAAGATTTGGGGCGGACTGGCTGCTTCATTTGCGACCAACACATGCTGAAATTCCTTTAACTTTTCATGCCATTTTTGTTTGAGCGTCGCGCAAGAGTTGCTCTCTAAATGGCATTCACGTGGCATCACAGAACAATTAATAAATCTGAATAATGGATGGATGGTCCCGTATAAATCCTGCAGAGAGGCACTGCAAAAGATAGTGGTGGCAAGAGATGAAGTTCCTGGTGGAACAGACAAAATGAAAACTGTCAAATCATTGGGTTTGGGTGGCAATAACTCTCAAAAGACCTCAAACATGAAATTGCTGATCTTCTAACAAAAAATATGTAACGTTTCCCTCAGATTAGCCTGCATACCCAAGGGCTGGAAGTAGCTAATATAACACCAAATAATAATAATAAAAATATAATAATAATAATAATTTATTATACCCTGCCCATCTGGCTGGGTTTCCCCAGCCACTCCGGGCAGCTTCCAACAAAATATTAAAATACAATAGTCCTTCAGATATTAAAAGCTTCCCTAAAAAAAAGATCGAGGGGCAAATTACAGGCGAGTTAGCGTAACATGGAAAGTATTGTTAAATATCTTACTGATCAGCTGCTTCCTTTCTTTTTTTTTTTTTTATAAAATTTTTATTGGTTTTAGAAACTTTTTAAGAAAAACAAACAAACACCAAAAAAAGACAAACATACACGAATAGTTTCAAACATATTTTCATAAACCTCTTTCCTTTGACTTCCCCATACCCCCCCTCTCTGCATCCCAATGTCCATAATTCAACTAGCAACTCCCAATTGTTAGATCAGCTGCTTCCTTTCAACACTCCCTTCCCTCTTGTTTGCCTTAGTGTCTGTTCCTTAGCTGGAGCAGTTTTTTGCTCCTCCTTTTCTTCCGATTTCTCTCCTTGTTGCTTTAGTCTTCCTGTCTCCTCTCCTTGCAAGTTCGCTGTCTTTACCTCCCCCCTCCCAGGCAGCCTCCTTTATTGCTAGCGTCCCTTATCTCGCGCCCGATCACTTGCCGATCAGCGGCTTCCTTTCAACACCCCCTTCCCTCTTTCTAAAAAAACAAAAACATGATCTGCTTTTTGCCCCCTGGGCAATTCGGCTCCAGGGACCACACATTTGCTCCATAAGACGTACAGACATTTCCCCTTACTTTTTAGGAAGAAAAAAGTGTCTCTTATGGAGTGAAAAATACGGTGTTTTGTGTGGAGGGGGAAGCTTTCGCAATAGTCCTCTTCACTTGCAAAACCCTTCAAATCCTGTATAAATAGATGAATGGGGTAGGTCTGTCGAGAAATACTTATTTACCTTTTCAAAAGAATGGCCAGGATAAAGCAATCGGCACTCATGATCAAATATCTCTCAAATTTATTGTTGTAGACCGTTTCTTTTCTGTGACATAATGATGCTTTTTCTGTGATCTTTGGCTAAGGGGTTGGGGCAATTTCTGAAGCTTTTAAAGGTGGTTACACAGCTTTTGTTCTGTGTTAAGTTGTGGGCGAACATATCAGACGACACAGCGATTCTTCAAACAGCTCTTGTTTATTCAAAGGCCAGAACAGAACAACGTAACTATAGCAACTTTCTAAAACTATCCAATCACTGAACGTCACTTTCGATCCTTCATTTGCATACAAACTATCCAATCACTGAACGTCACTTTCGATCCTTCATTTGCATAACTATCTACAGTATCTCCCTGCTGGCCCAGGGTGAGAACTTCAGTACATAACATTCTGGGTCCTCACCTCTTTGCAAAGGGGGGGACTCTGTTGCAACAGAAAACAAAAATATGCCTCATATTTTACTAGTTCCTGCCTCCAGCTATTCTTCTCTGATTGACAACGAACAGGGGATCTCCTTCATGGAGAGATGGGCTATAAAAACCAACCCCATTCCCCCCCCCCACCTAATTTCAGAGGATGGGACAAGGGAACGACCAGACGGGGTAATGCCCCACTTGGAAAAGAAGGGGTGGCGCGCTTGATTTAGTTTATGAGGACAGCTTTACCCTTTGAATGTCTGCCTGGCTTGGAAGCGACCCAGGAGTCGTGCGTAAAGGAAAACAAAAGGTTGGCAACTCATTTGGGGTCAGGGGGATGGACTGCCACGGGTGAGTTTTAAATGGGACGGCAGTGTAATAATCTTTTTCCTGTCGCCCGCATTTTAGAAGATGGATTTGCCACAGAAATATGGTGGGAGCCTTTCCTCCAGCAAGGCCGAGCCCTGGAGCTCAGTGGACGGGACGTGGTGGTGAGGCACATGGGGCTTTACTTCGTTTACAGCCAGGTAAGAGGGCAGGGCAGGATCCTGACCCTAGTTTGCCAGTGGTGGGGGCCACCCGGATTAGGTAGGGCTGGGAAGGAGGCGGCCGCATCACAACCCACAAATGCACCCTCTTTCTACTGGGCTGTGGTACGTAGCTCAGTGACCGAACCATCATTTCAGGCCCCGGTGGCATTTCATAGAATCGTAGACTTGCAACATTGGAAAGGACCACAAGGGTCATCCAGTCCAACCCCCTGCCATGCAGGAATATTTTGCCCAATGTGGGATTCAAACCCACGACCTTGAGATTCAGAGTCTCAAACTCTAAGGACTGAGCTATCTACTGACTGAGCTGCAACCCTGGAGAGTCGCTGCCATCCAGTCAGTTTAGACCAGGAGCGGGGTTCGGATCCCTGCGTAGCCATGAAGTTTCCTGGGTGGTCTTCGGCCAGTTGCCAATTCTTTGTTGTTGTTGAGTCGTTTAGTCGTGTCCGCCTCTTCGTGACCCCCTGGACCAGAGCACGCCAGGCACTCCTGTCTTCCACCGCCTCCCGCAGTTTGGTCAGACTCATGCTGGTAGCTTCAAGAACACTGTCCCACCATCTCATCCTCCATCGTCCCCTTCTTCTTGTGCCCTCCATCTTTCCCAACATCAGGGTCTTTTCCAGGGAGTCTTCTCTTCTCATGAGGTGGCCAAAGTCTTGGAGCCTCAGCTTCAGGATCTGTCCTTCCAGTGAGCACTCAGGGCTGATTTCCTTCAGAATGGAGAGGTTGGATCTTCTTGCAGTCCACGGGACTCTCAAGAGTCTCCTCCAGCACCAGAATTCAAAAGCACCCATTCTTCGGCAATCAGCCTTCTTGATGGTCCAGCTCTCACTTTCGTACACCACTACTGGGAAAACCAGAGCTTGTACTATACGGACCTTTGTTGCCAGAGCTTTCCAAACTTTTCATGCTGGTGGTACACTTTTTAGGCATGCATCATTTTGCAACATAGTAATTCAGTTTCACTAGCAAACCAGAGGTTAGACCAGGGGTCTGCAACCTTTAAGACAAAAAGAGCCACTTGGACCCGATTCCGAAGGAAAAAAAACCTGGGAGCTGCAAAACCATTGCGACATTTAAAGCATGCGCGCCGCTGCCCTCTGATCTGACAGCGGGTGGGAAGGTGACGTCGGGACGGTGCGTGACTAACGCGCGCACCGCCCCCATGCGACGTCACAGCCAGTACAGCGCCCGCCACAGTGGGGAGTGTCGGGGTGCACAATGTGCTTCCTCCCCTCGCTAGTATCCGCACCGGAGCCGCGGCAAAGGTGTAAAAGAGCCACATGCGGCTCCGGAGCCGCGGGTTGCAGACCCCTGACGAACCCCTTTCCAGCCCCGGGAGGAATGCAGGGAAAGTTGGTGCGACAGGTCCACACCCTGCAGCTGACACAATCGCGTGTTGCGACACACAGATTTGGAAAGCACTGTGTCATCCCAACCTTCCTTGCAAGGTTGTTGTGAGGGGGAACTGGGGGGGGGGAGGAGAACCAGGTAACCCACCTTGGAAGATAAAGGTGTTCTATAAATGAAATCAATAAGGAAATCGATAAAATTTGTCTTCTTCTTCTTCTTCTTTGGCGATCACTCGTAGCCGAGTAAGATTGTCTTCCATAAACACGGTTTTCACAATGACATGATTTTCACCACTCGACAGCTTCAAGAAAAGTGCAGAGAGCAAAACCAACCCCTGTGTATGGCGTTAATTGACCTGACGAAGGCTTTCGACACTGTATATCGTAATGCCCTTCTGTCCTTCTGAAAACTGGATAAAAATTGTACACATGTGTTGGGAAGACATTTTTTAAAAAAACATTTTTATTGATTTTCCACAGCCAATCAACATATCCACATCATAATCCAATTAAAAACAAGAAACTAAAATTTAAAAAGACCAAATTGTAATTATTAATTTTTCTGGGCTCCTGATAGTCTGGACCTCTGAAGCATATCTCCAAATCTTCAGTCCTGCCTCGTCTCATTGTTTTCGTATTTTCCGCCTTCTGGTCTTAACACTTTAAAGTTCTCCTTCGCTGGCTATGCGATTCTCAATCGTGTCAAAAATCATATGTCCTTTCATCCTCCAAACACAGCTTTATTAGTAAATATATGTGTGTTGGGAAGAAATTTGGCCCAGCCTTTTAAGGCTGACGGCACCACACAGACGCTGCGGGAAATATTTGTGTGTGGGGAGAGCGATGTTGAGCACCCTTCAGGAAGTGTCCGGATTACACCCCGCTGCCTTTTGCCCTTCTTCGCCGCTGGGCCAGCGAAACCGACCCACACACCCCTTTTCTTCCCCCTAGGTGCTGTTCCGTGACCCCACCTTTACTATGGGGCAGGTGCTGTGGCGGAAAGCTCACGGGAAGCCCGGCCAAATCCTGTTCCGCTGTGTCCAGAGCATGCCCCCCAACCCAGAAAAGGCCTTCAACAGCTGCTATAGTGGAGGTGAGAGGAGAATCAGACCTGGCTGGTGGGAGGGAGAGCTGCTATCCAGGACTCCTGGGTTCCCTTGCAAGGGGAGCGGGATTTGGGTTGGGGTGTTGGCGTCAAATGATCTTGGGTTGCCACCTCTCTCCTGGGCAGAAATCCCCCCCCCGGCATTTTCTGGGGCTTCACCTGTTGAACCTCGGCAAGTCAGTCAGCTGTCAAAGGCCAGACAGGGGACAGGGGGGCAACCTTTGTGTATTCCACAGGGCTTTATGGTACTCAAGAACATTGTTGTAGGGGAAAAACTGCTCCCTTTCATTTATGGGGTATTTCGGAGCCCTCCTATTGGTAGGAGGAAATAACAGAGGCCAACCAGAGTATATTGGGAAGCAAAGCGGTTAGTAAGCCTGATCTTTATTAAACTGTTGCAACAGGGTCCCCACTCACCACACGCAGGAGGCAGGAGGGACCCCGAACAATGGTGTGCAAGCACTTATATAGACTCTAGAAATTGCCCACCCTGTAGCCCAAGACCACCCCACAAGACATTATATATGCATCACAGAAGGAGGCGGTCTTCAGCAGAAATCCTGTCTGACAGGGTACCTGATAATGGGCCCTGATTGCTTTACCTGGGCAGCCTGGCCATTCTTTTCATACACAAATATGCCCTTAAGACAGGATTTGTGAGCCAAAAAGACAATGGGATGGCTTTCCCCATTTGCCTCCCTTACTGCAGAGGAATATTTGAGGTCATTGGGAGAGTCAAAATGGCTTCAGGATTGCTCTCTGATACTATTTCAGACACATGGTTTATATACTTATGTATGTGTTTGCCTCGTACATTTATGAACATTTAATTTATATTTGAGACCTTAGAGTTCTTATAACAAAGGGGAGTGGGATTTGGTGAGGACACATGGGGTGTTGGCGTTGAACGGTTTCAAGTTGCCCCCTCTCTCCTGGGCAGAAACGCCACCCGGCATCTTCTTGCTGGGAGCTTCACCTGTTGAACCTCGGCAAGTTAGCTGTCAAAGGCCAGACTGGGGATGGGGTGAGGAGCAGGGCCAACCTTTGTATATTCCACGGGAATTAATGAGGCTCAATAACACCTACTGCCCGCGGACTGTCTGGCCAGAGTGGCGCATGCTCTGGTTATCTCCCGCTTGGACTACTGCCATGCGCTCTACGTGGGGCTACCTTTGAAGGTGACCTGGAAACTACAACTAATCCAGAACGTGGCAGCTAGACTGGGGACTGGGAGCGGCTGCCGAGACCATATAACACCAGTCCTGAAAGACCTACATTGGCTCCCAGTACGTTTCCGAGCACAATTCAAAGTGTTGGTGCTGACATTTAAAGCCCTTAAGCGGCCCAGTAGACCTGAAGGAGCGTCTCCACCCCCATCATTCTGCCTGGACGCTGAGGTCCGGCTCCGAGGGCCTTCTGGCAGTTCCCTCGCTGCGAGAAGCAAAGCTACAGGGAACCAGGCAGAGGGCCTCCTCGGTGGTGGCGCCCGCCCTGTGGAATGCCCTCCCATCAGATGTCAAAGAGATAAACAACTACCGTACTTGACATTTAGAAGACATCTGAAGGCAGCCCTGTTCAGGGAAGTTTTTAATGTGTGACATTTTAATGTATTTCTAATCTTTGTTGGAAGCCGCCCAGAGTGGCTGGGGAAACCCAGCCAGATGGGCAGGGTACAAATAAATTATTATTATTATTATTATTATTATTATTATTATTATTATTATTATTATTAATGTTATTATCATTATTATTACTCAAATTGAAATACTCCAAAGCCCCTATTCCTACCAATCCTGCAAGACAATTTGCTAGCGTCAAATTCAGCAGGATGAGGCCCTGTCAGGAGCCGGTGCCAGGGGAACCAGAGGCCCTTGAAAGGAAGGTGTTTCCGCCCCGCTGTGCCTCTGCCTGACCCTCCTCTTCCTCCTCCTCTTAGGGGTTTTCCACCTGCAGCCTGGAGACCGGCTGAACCTCCGCATCCCTCGTTTCAATGCATCCTTTGACCTGACTGCCCACGGGACCTTCCTGGGGTTTCTCCGTCTATAGTGGTCTTCTCGGGGGTTCCCACCGTGAGAGACTTCGGGGCCAGAGTGTCAGTCAGCCAGGGTGTTATGTACTGAGTTGAATAGGATCCAAAAGGCAGCAGTCTGATTGGTCCTAGAACAATAGGATCCAAAAGGCAGCAGTCTGATTGGTCCTAGAACAATAGGATCCAGAATGCAGCAGTCTGATTGGTCCTAGAACAATGCAGCAGTATGATTGGTTGGCAGGAACTACCCAATCATGCTCCAGACAGAAGTGAATCCACAACCTGATTGGCTTACAGTAGAATTCCGGAATTAGCCAATCATGTGCAGCCCATTGTGTAAATAATGTATATAAAGCAGATACTTTGAGGGGACATTCATTCATTCCTCCTCACCACTATGAGCTGAATAAAGAGCATGAAATCACTTTGCGACTCTGAGTATATTTCACAGAGTCAAAGACTTCTACGTTCTGCTCCGAACTTTGAGCGTCTGATGGGGGAGACGCTCTGGGGACCAGGGGGGTGAGCTGGTATTTGACGCAGGAAGCGAGGTAAAGAGCTTAGGCCAAGCTGAGCTGCTCAAGAACGTCTCTGACCCTCCTTTTTCCAAGATGCCAGAGCCTTTCCTGGCCTGCAGTGAGAGCACACAAGGCACCTGGGGTTATAAGAGCAACAGCATGTTCTTTCGTGGCCGGGAAGGGTTTGCCATCCAGGTGTCCGCCAAGGACAAAAATGGATTTTCCCGAGCCCTTATGGTCGCTTCTTCGAGCTTGGGAGGATAAAATACCCAGTACAGTGGTACCTCGGGTTACATACGCTTCAAGTCACATATGCTTCAGGTCACAGACTCTGCTTACCCATAAATAGTACCTCGGGTTAAGAACTTTGCTTCAGGATGAGAACAGAAATCGTGCTCTGGTGGTGCAGCGGCAGCAGGAGGCCCCATTCACTAAAGTGGTGCTTCAGGTTATGAACAGTTTCAGGTTAAAAACGGACCTCCGGAACGAATTATTTACTTAACCAGAGGTACCACTGTATCTATTACGCAGCAGCATAAAGACCTCAACGCCTTGGCTCCACTGGAACGCACTTTCTATAAACACCGTTTTCATTGGGACACCTTTTCAGACATTTGGACGGCATATACTGTCTTGTAAACTAAGATGGATATACAGCCATACCTCGGGTTACAGACGCTTCGGGTTGCGCGCCGTGCCGAACCCGGAAGTACTGGAATGGGCTACTTCTGGGTTTTGGCGCTTGTGCAGAAGTGCCGAATCGCAACCCGCGCGTGTGCAGACGTGGCGCTGCGGGTTGTGGATGCTGCGGGTTGCGAACATGCTTCCCACACAGATCATGTTCGCAACCCGAGCGTCCACTGTACTGCAATGTTGGTTATTGTCCTGTTAAAAGTAAACTTACAGAGGGTTGCTTTTCCCCTCCCTGCCCCCCCTTTCCCCCGCCAAATAATTTTTTCAATTAAAGTATGATTTCAAAGCACATTGAAACGGCGCCCTCCGTGTTTTGGACTACAATTCCCATCATCCTGAGCGAGCGCAGTCCAACTCCCTGGCTCTGATGGGTTTTGTAGTCCAAAACATGGCAGGCACCAGTTTGGTGAAGGCTGATTTAAGAACATAAGAAGAGCCTGTGCTGGATCAGTCCAGTGCAGGACCTGAACACAGGAGCCGCTCCCCCTTCCTGTGGCTTCCAGCTGATACGGAAGGGGGGGCATGTCTTCTTCACCCCTTCCGCCGGTCCCCAGAGGGTCCGAGACGATGACCTCAAGGGCACCCGGCCCTACATGGACCCCTCAGCCCCCACACTGTTACACCAGCACCACATTTAACCCCAAGCCCCATAAATAAAAGTGCCTTTCTCCCTTCCCTACGCCCATTCGCTACATTGGTAAACCGTGTGTACAGTGGTGCCTCGCAAGACGAAATTAATTCATTCTGCAAGTTTTTTCTTCTTGCGAGTTTTTCGTCTTGTGAAGCATGGTTTCCCATAGGAATGCATTGAAAATCAATCAATGCGTTCCTATGGAGACCGTCCGGGGACAGAGGGGAAGCGCCGCGCGCCTTCCCCTCTGTCCCCGGACCTGTTTTAAAGCAAGGGGCAGCGGGGAGAATCGCTTCTCCCCGTTGCCGCCCCTTGGTTCAAAAGGGTTCCGGGGAGAGAGGGGAAGGCGTGCTGCGCTTCCCCACTATCCCCGGAGCTTGCGGGGCAAGCTTCGTTTTGCGAAGCAAGCCCATAGGGAAATGCGTCTTGCGAAGTGGCTAAGAAAACGAAAAACTCCTTCGTCTAGCGAGTTTTTCGTCTTCCGAGGCGTTCGTCTTGCGGGGTACCACTGTACTAATGTTTGTATCTCTTGAATGGGAACGTTCTACCCAATCAGAACCATGCACTCGCCCCTGCAGAGGACTAAAATCTATAAAAATCCATAGAAAATCAACCGTAGCACCGATTTTCTTGCTTTTGGTGCCAATCTGCTTAATTTCCCTAGGACTCCACGACACCTTCACTGTCCACCATAATCCCTCAAGCGAGGTGTCACGTACACACAGGAAGACCCTAATCCTGTCAAATCACTCTGCCAAGCCTTTCCTCCGGGCAGTGCCAAGTGGCAGACTATGCATACCTGGACCATTGTCCCTTCATCACCGGTACTCAGGATGTGCTTATCTGCGCATATCTCCAGCTCTGCATATTCCCCCCTCCCTCCTCCATATGTTAATCCTGTGTAACCCAACCTCTCCTTAATGTATTCATGATGTAACCTGTGTAACCCAACCTCTCCTTAATGTATTCATGATGTAACCTGTGTAACCCAACCTCTTCTTAATGTATTCATGATGTAACCGTGATGTATTTTGCACTGTATCCTGGGACATGGAGGGAAGTTTTAAAAGTTCATGTCACCCCTTCCTCGGGGTTCAATCTCGCCTTGAACCTGTTGTGCAATAAACTTGGATCTTCTGCATCTTGCTCCTGTCTCTGGCTGAGCTCATTTTCCTCCGCAGGAACCCGCGGACTTAGTCCGACGAGCTGGGTGGCAGAGCAGCCTTGCACCCAGATTTTACCGTAACACAGCAATTGATATTCAGAAGCGACTGCAGGGAACATAGGCATGTTGGCTAGTTGCCAGCCATAGCTCTCTCCTCCTCCAGGAATTTGTCCCATCTTCTTTCAAAGCTGCAGCAGGGAGTTCCACAATTCTGCTACGCACTGCATTTAAAGCACTGTCCTTTTAAGACCTACACTCGTTGGCCAAAATTGTGGAAACCCTTTTGGAGAAAGTGTATTTCCGACGTTTGATGGCTCATAACGCCACTTTCTTTTGGAGTAATACCATCAAATGATATATCAGTGGAAAGATAATTTAATGAAGAGTGTAATGCAACAAAGTTTGTTCAGTTATCTGTATCCTATCAAATGTTATAGCCAAATAACCAGAAAAAGGAGAGTTTAGAGAGCCAATCAGGTGTAATCTTGTTTTGGCAATCATGGCTCATAACACCACTTTTTTTGGAGCAATACCATAAAATTATATATCAACGGAAAGATAATTTAATGAGACGACTTCCGGGTTGACGCGATCTGGAAATGGCGGATTCCCTCCGAGCTCCGGAGGGAACCGGCTCCACTGAGGATGGGTCTTTGCCGCGCCGGCGACGCGGGGACCCTTAAAAACCGCAGGCGCGGAAGCCTGCGGACTGAAGACTCGGCGGGTGCCTTAAGCGCCCCCCCTGATTCGCAAAGAGCCTTTTTAAAGGCTGCGGAGGGGATACGGGGGTGGCGTGGCACTGAGAGTCGATCGCTACCTCGGTGGAGTGAAGCCGCGAGCCATGACCAGAGAGCGCTGACTTCCTTCCTTGAAAATTTGGACTGAAAGAATTACCCGTGAGTAAGACGGATTGGGACTTTATAAAAATTTTACCTTGAATTGGAGACGATCGGGGGGTGTGCTAAAAGGAAGTCCGCACCCCCCCCCTTGCAGACGATCTAAGCAACGGCATAAGAACTAAGCTGGAGAGCCTACCCCTGGTGGGGTGAGTTAAAAAGGACATTAACTTCCAAGATTTAACTAAAGGAAATTTTGGGCTGGAGAGTGGAGTTTTGGGAACCTTCTTTTTGCTTTAAACAACCCCCCCTCCCGGGCTCGGGAACGTCCTGCCTTGGTGCCTGTGTAAGAGCTGCGGAGTTTGACAGCTGTCAAAGCTGCCAAACGGCCGGTTTAAAGTGGAAAAATTGTCATCTCTGGACTAAGACGAGTTATAATTGAGCTAAAACTGTTGGAAACAAAGTAATAATAATCAGTTAAAGGATTGTTGGTGAAAAGGCTAATAAGTAACCAGATTCCCCCTAGGGGGAATTCTGTGAAACTACAATGGACACAATGGCTGTGGAAGGAAAGTTACTCGTGGAAATCGAAAGGATGTTTCAATTGGTGGGAATCTTACAAGAGCAGAGCTTGGCCATGAATAAACAAATTGAGACTATGACCTTGGGAACAGGCAACTCTGCTCTTTGTACTGAGGACCTCAACGAGAAAGAATTCACAGCTGAATGGGAAACAATATCTATAGAGTTGGAAGAGACTAAACAACAAGAAAAAGAAGTAGTAATCCTGGGAAGCAACAACCAAAAGCTGACATCTGCGGAACATAAGCAAGGAAACGCTGGGAACATATCTACTACAAGTCTGCGAAAGATACAGAAGAAGAAGGAGGAGGTCCCGGGACAAAATGGAATACAGAAATTTAAAATAAAGAAATATGATTGGGGCCTCCGTTTGGACTTTGATCTTGAAGAGATAGGTTTTGTGGAAATTCTTCAGCAGTTACTTTTGAATCCCCTTGTGGGAAGAGGAAACACTTTGATGGTGAAAGAACTTTTCCCAGACTTGACGACTGACATAAAGGACTACCAACGGGACAGGCGGAGAGGGACTGAAAGGGATTTGAAAGCCTCGGACGTGAGGAACCCAGGCTGAGAATCTCGAATTTGGATCTTTATTGGGAAGGGACAAAAACCGGGGATGGGAGGGAGGGAAGAAGAGACCTTTAAAAACTCTTAAGACTTTTAGGTTTGGTTAATATGACTCTTAATTAAGATAAAATGAAAATCGATGGAAGAGAACTTAAGTCCAACTTAGGAAAA